ATTCATGATATTAATGATTGTTTCTAAACAAAATCACTACAATTCCTGATAATAAAAAATATAATAAAACAATAGTTTGCATGGCTTATAATATTGATGACTTGCGTGGGAAATAGATCATGTGTGTACATGTGCATGTTACATGGTGTGGGTTGAAGATGTGAAAATCAATCATTTGTTGTGATACTTCATGTATCATGTATTAGAGCAAACATGTACAAGATATAACACCACAACAACACTGTGCATATACTAAAAAAGTCAAACCTGTCAATCTAAAATTATTCATATGGGCACAACAATATGACAATGGTAAGTTTGTAAACGCACGGAAAAGACCTTGCACATACCCTACTGAATGGTAGCTCATCATTCATAACATAAACAACCTCCAGTTAAGACAAAGCAATTTAAACGATAAGCATAATGTTAGTAATGTTCAAATGCCATCATAACTCAATCAAAATTTCTAGGTAAATATCCTGATATTGAATCACATCTTACAGCGAATTTAATGCTCTTAGAATTTCCCAACCCTAACCGGGCCCCTTATGATAACGAAACCAGCGGGTTCGCTCGCTCGTGTCTGCACTGGAATAGAACGTGGGACACACACACTAAATACAACTCCACACATTTCAAACATCCGGTATCTCGGCACTTGGTAGCTAAAACAACTACAATATAGGCTGGATCGGACATAATGCCTTACTGAACGCTATCTGTATCGATTTGGAGACGTCTCGGCGAAATGGGAAGTCACCAGATGGTTGTTTTGGTTCGGGGGTCACCAGAAAATTGTTCGTTAGCATGGAAACTACTTGATCAAACGCATCCAAACTCACCTTAAATGTCGGTGTAAGTCCTTTAGTTAGTCAAGACATATGAATGAAGGTAATGTGAAATCACAGAACCCCAATATGGGTCTTGAGAATCGAGCAAAGTCTACACCCAGACCCGTCGAGACAATGTCTGCTGAACCATCTAGGTCACACTGCGCGTGCGTGAAAATCGATTGGGTGTTGGATCGGCTTTTGCTGCGAAAGCGGATCGCATGTGTAGAGGTGTTTGGCTGGAAGCCCACATATATTTACACACTATACACATGGGTTTGAGAATGAAATGTTTCAGATAATGTGACACTATAAGTATCCCAATTCTGGGTCGTTATGCAATTCACACGCCATATCAGTAGTACTGTTCCTGAGCGATGCTGGCCTCCTGCTCCTGAGCAAATAGTTCTTCTGTCGCATTAATTATGCAATTGTACTGTATATTTAATAATATATAAAATATACTCATAAATAATTATGGTCTACATGCGATCCTCACTGTTCATACAGAACATGTAAGTATGCCTATACATAGGTATACCTCTATCATTTAAATTTATCTCAATAAAAAAGGTTCCATGTATAAAAATGTATACTAACGAATGTCCTTATATATAACACGACGTTAAGAATATTGTTATTGTACTACCAGTGTTGAACAAATAGAATACAAAATACCTTTTTCAGAGACGTAAACTGCTTCTGACAAGAGAAATTCATCACAACAAATTAATTATTCGTTATAAGATGAACGCTCGTTATAATGCCAAGTTAATCCTCTTTCACTACATTTGAAAAGAAACAAGGATGTTTTTATTTTTCACATAGAAAACTCGTCTTTCACATTTCATCCGTTCCTTGGTCTGTATAATGTTGTTTTCTTTTTCTTTTTTGTGTGTTTTCTCTGAGTAAATCCCAGCTTCGTCCAGGTGATATTTATACACATTTATCAATATTTTTATTACGATCAAACCTCATGCAAAATATTTTACCTCATTCAATGCACCTACTATCAACATCTCTTAATGACGCTATTTAATTATGTTCACGTATGTATGTGTTACTATTCACGTTCGTATACGGCCTCTATACACCTGCAATGCTTACCCTCCCCATCGCATTTCATACCCAAGCTCCCGCCACCTTTAAGTCATACCATTGTTTGATTATATTATTGTATATATCAATAATAAAATATTCCTAAACTATCGAATACATTATTTTCATTGCCTCTCTGTTCAGCCCCTCCCCAAGTTCCCTCTCCAAGAAACTCATACAATATTGTATGGTTGTATATTGTTGTCCATTACAGTGATTAAAACAGTGTTAATCTATCGTCAATATCGTTATTTGTGGTCTTTCTGTTCTCGATACATATTTTAATTATATGATACTACAGCCAATACCTTCCGCGTTTACCCTTTCGAAGAGTGTGTCTATATCACCCACCGTCGACACGCACTTCCAGGGCCTCAAGAGTCTGGGCTGATCCGTTCACCATCAATATGTGAAAACTATTTCACCTCCCGACAAGCTCTCACATCTGCCTAGGTCAAATACAACATATCGGGAACCGTTTAGCTTAGTGTGCGCATTCTAGGAAAGACCGCCCACAGTTTTATTTTCGCACTGGCAAACCCTTAAACCATTGAGCAGTTTGAGCCTATTTCTGCCGTGGGAAGTGCGTCACGAGCGCGACAGGGGGCTTGGCTACAAGGGAGGTAACTACAATCAAGCGCGGCTTCCCGTTAACGACTGCTGGAGTGGGAAGGGGTTTAGCGCTGCTGACGGGAATTTTCCACTCATATCACCGCGGGAGACGCCAGGAATTGGCTCCTCTTCTGACAAATGATTCGATCCGTCTCCATGGAAATGAGACAGACAAAGAGAGTTTGGGGTTATATTCAGTCTTAGCCAGAGGCAATGTTGAGAAGGGCAATGTAGGTATAATAAATTGTCATGGTCATACAATTCATCGACCAGAGATTTTATGCATGGGCTCAGCACGTGTGTATCAATTATCTAAGGAGTTAGGTAGTTTAATGTTTATTACGCCATGTTTCGTCGGTTGCATGGTTCCTTGTTGGCGACTGGCTACAAATAAATTATTCATATATGTATATGTTTATATCACAAATCGATTGTTCATTAGGTACAATTGTTTTAAATATCATAAAATACTCATTAGGATATCGCATATAGCTGGATACTGATATCACGTGAGATGGCTTACACTGTCACATGTCGATGTAATGTGACACACAATTAAACCAGGTCACGTCACATGAGAGATGTGACACACAATTACACTGTCACATGTCGATGTAATGTGACACACAATTAACCAGGTCACGTGAGAGATGGCTTACACTATCGCATGTCGATGTAATGTGACACACAATTCACCGTGAGAGGTCACGTGAGGAGATGGCTTACACTGCCATCTGTCGATGTAAGATGTAACCAGAGAGATGAAGATGGCTTACACTGTCGCCCGTCCATGTAATATGACACACAATGGCCAGGTCACGTGAGAGATGACTTACACTGTCACATGTCGATGTAATGTGACACACAATTAACCAGGTCACGTGAGAGATGGCTTACACTATCGCCCGTCCATGTAATATGACACACAATTAACCAGGTCTCGTGAGATGTCGATGTTACACTGTCGCCCGTCCATGTAATATGACACACAATGGCCATGTCACGTGAGAGATGACTTACACTGTCACATGTCGATGTAATGTAACACACAATTAACCAGGTCACGTGAGAGATGGCTTACACTGCCATCTGTCGATGTAAGATGACACACAATTAACCAGTTCTCGTTAGAGATGGCTTACACTATCGCCCGTCCATGTAATATGACACACAATTAACCAGGTCACGTTGAGGGATGGCTTACACTGTCACATGTCGACGTAATGTGAAACACACAAGGGCCAGGTCACGTGAGAGATGGCTTGCACTGTCGCCCGTCCATGTAATATGACACACAATTAACCAGGTCACGTGAGAGATGGCTTACACTATCGCCCGTCCATGTAATATGACACACAATTAACCAGGTCACGTGAGAGATGGCTTACACTGTCGCCCGTCCATGTAATATGACACACAATGGCCAGGTCACGTGAGAGATGCCTTACACTGTAACATGTTGATGTAATGTGACACACAATTAACCAGGTCACGTGAGAGATGGCTAACACTTTCGCCCGTCCATTTAATATGACACACAATTAACCAGGTCACGTGAGAGATGGCTTACACTGTCGCCCGTCCATGTAATATGACACACAATGGCCAGCTGGTCACGTGAGAGATGACTTACACTGTCACATGTCGATGTAATGTAACACACAATTAACCAGGTCACGTGAGAGATGGCTTACACTGTCGCCCGTCCATGTAATATGACACACAATAACCAGGTCACGTGAGAGATGGCTTACACTGTCACCCGTCCATGTAATATGAACACACAATTAACCAGGTCACGTGAGAGATGATGACACTGCACACTGTCATGTCGATGTAATATGACACAACAATTAATGGCTTACACAGGTCACGTGTCACATGTCGATGATGGCACAATTACAGGTCACTATCACTATCGCCCGTCCATGTTATATGACACACAATTAACCAGGTCACGTGAGAGATGGCTTACACTGTCGCCCGTCCATGTAATATGACACACAATGGCCAGGTCACGTGAGAGATGGCTTACACTGTAACATGTCGATGTAAGATGACACACAATTAACCAGGTCACGTGAGGGATGGCTTACACTGCCATCTGTCGATGTAAGATGACACACAATTAACCAGGTCTCGTGAGAGATGGCTTACACTGTCGCACGTCCATGTAATATGACACACAATTAACCAGGTCACATGAGAGATGGCTTACACTGTCGCCCGTCCATGTTATATGACACACAATGGCCAGGTCAGAGCGGGTGGGTGTGCACTCAAGTGTAACGGCTGGTTCATTTGCAGATGCCCTCACGGCTCATTGTGTGTGTGTATATATAGAGATGTTGGGTTTTCTAAATACATGCTCATTTTTTGTGTATAACATTTTGCAATCAACAGACATCATAACATGTTATGTGTTCAAGTATCACACCTGCCTGTCTGCGTAATTACATAATGTGACAGAGACCGAACTCGGGCCATAAATCAATGCACTTTGTTTATGGTGTATAGCCTGATTGGTGTTAAGTTCAAATTGCATGTGGTCAGTGATCGCAGTTGTGTATTGAATGTTGTCATTAGCAGACAGGCAGGCAGACACACATGTGTCAATAAAACAAGGCATTGAGTTTTGTCTGTGACAACGACATATCTATATCACAGTTAGAAATTCTGTCAACGCTAAATAATGACATTGCTTTCAAGTATCGAACTGAGAAAGTGACTCGGTAAGAAGAACGTGTGGTGAAATAGACAAATGAAATAATATAAACAGTAAATTTACTGTCATAACATATAAAAGCTCGCGCCTGTGAGATATCAACAAAACATTAGAAAAATAGCTCACACCAAAGCCTTCACCGAGTATTCACCGGACAACCCGCTTCCAAGTTGCGCGAACCTATTTCACTGCGCACGTGCTATGAGCGCAGCCCAGCTGTTGGAACCACTTGAATTCCCCCCAAACGCTGGGGGAAAATTAGTGAATCGTTTGAACTACGATTTCGCACGGGTTTTTTTCATCGCGTTATTTTTCAACTTTATAAGTTGAATTTGCATTTTTGATGATTTGTTTCGGTAAGTCCATACCGAAAGGTATCAGAATCTGCAAAGTTGTGTTTTACGTTGCATGTGACCTTTAAGCTGGTTTTATAGTGCAAGCTCACTGAGATACCATGCCGCAGTTAAGCATGAATACCCAACTCAGACACATTATATACTGACACCGAGCCGACCAGTTGTACCCATTAATGCCTAGTGCCAGACAGGGGCCAACAAGTACCATATTTTAACGTCTTTTGCTATGCCGCGGCCGGGGATCGAACCCGCGACCTTCCGCTCTCCGGGCGGACGCTCTAACCACTGCACCACCGAGGCGGTCTAACAGTGTTAGCTTATTGTTAGGTGTTCATACACAATAAGGCCGAACAGAACAGAAGTTTATTAACTGAAAGATATGAACAAACCAAAATGAGGAGATTATTATAAGTGAACGCATGCAAAATAGACATAAATTGTTCTGTACAGAACAAAACATGTGGCGACAGAATGGGACAGTTCCTTCGGTGTTGATATGAAAATACGCTGAAATAACTTCTTTTGGAAACGGGGCGGTGGAGTAGCCTAGGGGTTAAAGCCTTGGCTGGTCACGCCGAAGACCCGGATACGATTCCCCACGTGGGCACGATGTGCGAAGCCCAATTCTGGTGTCCCTCGCCGTGATATTGCTGGAATATTGCTAAAAGCGGCGTAAAACTAAACTCAGCCAGTCAGTCAGTCAGTCTTTAGAAAACGAATGGTACAGCGGTTTGAAAATTCGTTAACTGAAAACACAAAGTCAAACACATGATGACATTCATCTACAGTGTGAGTGAATGGACATAGATCATACATTTGTTCTCATGAGTGGCAAAATGAACACATGGCATCAAATTCATTGACATCCACACACACGTTGTCTACTCACATTTGGTCCAATGTGGTCTGTATGGCATGATATATATATTGCTGATACATATACAAGAACTTTAGGATCAGATATTTATTTTACATTAATTGGTTCTCTGGGTTGACAGAAGGGGTTGAATAATGTTTATGATAACAATACTTACTCTCAGTTAAATCAATATGAAAACAACAACACTCAGATCAAGTTCCCACTTTGATTTCGACTTGCCAGATGGGATGTGAAGAAGAGAGGAGACAGCACCTGTGTGTGAACCTATAACAGCCGATACGTCATGTGTCCCAAACCAGACAAACTAGTTTGATAGCATCAGCAAACATCTATGCCGTTGGTGTACAAAACCCCACGGACAACCACCACCACCATCATCATCATCATCATCATTTTCATCGACCACTGCCACAGACATGGGGTACTGGCCTTTCAGACACACTATGCTGTACTCCAACCACTGGAGGCTGGTTTACTATGGAGAGCCAAGCTTATAGGCCATTTGCCATTTTCTGGGGTTTTATTTTTCATTTTTTAAATATTGTAAAGTTTTGTTGTTGCTGCTGTTACGTCGGTAGTTGCTCACCACTGTAGCCCTCTCATCTGATTCTATTACATTTACCGGTTGTCTTAGGCGTGACAGTTTGCTAGACCAGAAAAATATGAACGTGGGTTGAATCTCGTCCAGCCATTTTGTGTATTCTCTTTATCAGAACCCTTCCCCTGGCCGTGGGTTTCGCCGCTGTGCACGTAGTAAACATCTGTATAACTCCTCCCATATTAATCTTACTGAAGCCAGCTCTCCCTCTCAATGAGGGGTAAGGGCGGTGGGTTAGCTTAGTGGTTAAAGCGTTCGCCGAAGACCCAGGTTCGTATCCCCACATGAGTACAATGTGTGAAGCCTATTTCTGGTGTTCTCCCAAACACAAACACACACACACACACACACACGAGGTGATATTGCTGGAATCTTGCTAAAATCAGCGTAAAACCAAACTCACTCACTCACTCACTCACTCTCTCACTCAATGACGGGTAAACATTAACTAAACTGCGGTGTTTCTTTAGTTTCAGTTTCGGCCTTTCCGCAGACCTGGTGCCAGGTGTGGGATGATTGTGTTAGTCCTGGAGCGATTCCGCTGCTTTAAGATTTGCAAGTTCCCCGTAGTCTACATCTGGAATGTACCACAAAGACAATGCAATATTTACCTGAAACGCCTTTGTAGATTTGGCATTTTGTAACCTTACGTTGCATGTATCAATTATTAGAATGGAAAGGCGGAAGCTTTCATTATTTATAACACAATCAAGTTTTATATGAAAACTAAATCTTTGCTCAAATATCTGTTACACCTTAAGGGATTTCAAACATAAATCAGTTGCAGTTATTACTATAATGAAAGTAGACGCTTACGGAGTCTTTGTACGTCATGGCGTATGTTTTCTTCTAAAGACTTTTCTTGCATCGACTTGAAGTATATCCGGTAGCTGAAAATGGTAAAAGTACACGTTTTCACCAATGACGTCAGTCATTGTACATTGTACATTGTTACATCAGCAGAGACTATGAGAGCATGCGTCTATGCTCGATCGAGAGTAGCTATTCACCTTCCATCCCGTTTCTTCACCAAACACGTCCCGTCCTTTTTCCGGTTGTACTCTTGGTGAATCTTAACCTGCATGTCGTCCTGGTACAGCCTCCATTGATATCCGTCATGCCATCTCCACACGGTCGGACGGGAGTCCTCCTCCTCTTCCAGGCCTGGACTTCCCGACCCTGAAACAGTCACCTCTATCTCTATCTGCTGGGTAGATTCATTCCCATGTATGGGTCTGTCTTGACGTCTTTTGTCAAGTTCAATACCTTTATAGTGATTTGTATTATTTTTGATAAATTTAGTTCATTGCAGAATACAAGTATTAATTATATCACATTGTTTAGTTGTTTGTAACGTTCACGTCAAGTTCTTCTACTGACTGATGTCGGATTCACTTCTCGCTAACTTGGTAATCAGTGTGCGAAATAGGCCTGCTGGTCCGTGGCTAGTATAAATCCAGTCGGGCCAGTAAATCTTCACAGTCACTGGCCCGACTGGCTAATGAATTTTCATAGGGTCATTTTTATAAATATATCACTCTCTCCGATTTGTTAAGTTAAAATACACTTTTAAATTGATTGTGGCCTGATAAAAAAATTCACCATTTCAGTAGCTAAATGATGAAACCCATGTGTACATTCAAATTTCGGGCCAGAGAATTATTTTGTGGGCTAGTAACTTTCAGGCATAGCTAGTCCTACTGGCTAGCACAATTTGGAAACTATTTCGCACAACTGTTGGTAATCAACACGTAACAATGTACATGTAGAATACTTACATGTGTCCTTCGTGTACTTACACACGTCCTTTGGTTTGACTTTCAGTAATGAGACACTATATGAATACACGTATAGAATACTTAATATGTCAGAATTGATCCTCATCAACCCATGCCTGTCGTAAGAGGCGACTAACGGGATCGGGTGGTCAGGTTCGCTGACTTGGTTGACACAAATCATCGTATTCCAGTTGCCTAGATCGATGCTCTTGCTGTTCATCACTTGATTGTCTGGTCTAGATTCGATTATTTACAGACGGTTGCCATATAGTTAGAATATTGTCGAATGCGGCGTAAAACTACACTCACTCACTAACTCACTCACTCATTTACATATGTACTTCGGTTCAACCTTCAGTAAGGAGACACTGTGTGGGCACTTAGACACCGATAGACACATACATGTGTCCTGGGGTTTAGTCTTCAGTTATGTAGCACCATGCATGCAATTGTGAAACAAACACATACCTCTGTCCTGGGGTCTAGTCTTCAGTTATGTAGCACCATACCGGCAAGTGTGAAACAAACACATACCTCTGTCCTGGGGTCTAGTCTTCAGTTATGTAGCACCATACCGGCAAGTGTGAAACAAACACATACCTGTGTCCTGGCATCTAGTCTTCAGTTATGTAGCACCATACCGGCAAGTGTGAAACAAACACATACATGTGTCCTGGCATCTAGTCTTCAGTTATGTAGCACCATGCGTGTAAGTGTGAAACAAACACATACCTCTGTCCTGGGGTCTAGTCTTCAGTTATGTAGCACCATACCGGCAAGTGTGAAACAAACACATACCTGTGTCCTGGGGTCTAGTCTTCAGTTATGTAGCACCATACCGGCAAGTTTGAAACAAACACATACCTCTGTCCTGGGGTCTAGTCTTCAGTTATGTAGCACCATACCGGCAAGTGTGAAACAAACACATACCTCTGTCCTGGGGTCTAGTCTTCAGTTATGTAGCACCATACCGGCAAGTGTGAAACAAACACATACCTGTGTCCTGGGGTTTAGTCTTCAGTTATGTAGCACTATACCGGCAAGTGTGAAACAAACACATACCTGTGTCATGTTTCCTAGGATCCAACTTTACTAAGGTGACATGGGCGGTGGGGTAGTCTAGTGATAAAAGCGTCCGCTCGTCACGCTGAAGACCCGGGTTCGATTCCCCACATGGGTACAATGTGTGAAGCCCATTTCTGGTGTCCCCCGCGGTGATATTGCTGGAATATTGCTAAAAGCGGCGTAAAACTAAACTCACTCACTTAATAAGGTGACACTATGTATACTCGTATGAAACATACCTGTATCTTGGGGTCGTCCAGGGAACCTCAACTCTCCACCTGTATGTTTCTTGTGGACGAGCGGCTCGCTGAAACACAGATACCATAGTGATACACGCTTGTGGTGTATTGGTGAACATTCGAAGAGTGTGTGTGCGTGCGTGCGTGCGTGAGTGAGTGCGCTTGTGTGTTATCAGATGAATAAGTAGATGAGGGACTGACACAGGCTGGCATGTATGTGTCTGGAAAAAAGCACGTGCTCGTGTTAATATGGGATTACACGAGGTCTATCTGGAGAGAGGGCTCGGTTGTCCAAGACAATTATGTTCTGAAATTACAGAAGTCGAAAAATTTCTCATTGCTGAAAACATGCCCTCATCAATATTAGAAAGCATTCTGTTTCTATAGAATATGTGAAAATCAAGTGTTACATTGTTTTCTCGATTTTGGAAAACAATGTTAAGCTTTTAGTACTTACCATATCTCCAGCTCGTAGACTCCATCCAGTCCAAACTTGTGGGTTTTGATGTTGCCGTTACTCCACCGTACCTGATGTCAAAGTGAAATACAAATGCCTAAAATGTTGTGTCCACAGCTAGACCTTCTCCTTTACATTGTTAAATGAGTTTGTTCATAGGGTCGGTGATTAAAACGTTTTTCACCTATATAAATGAGTTATGAATAGAACTGTCGGTAAGGTGAAACTATATGTAAGATTTGAAGGATCCTGTTTATATTTTTATTATTGAACCTATTTGTTTTGGTTCTTTCTTGCGCGAAAATTAAGATAAAGACAAGCGATCACTTCGATTTTAATCTTGATTTTGGTCGACCTATGAAATCGGCTTATATACTCATTGGAAAGATTTTTCTTTCAAAAAGTACTTATATATAACAAGAGATTGTTTTAACACAATGAAAGCACTATGTCCGTAGGTCTTGTACTCCGTTACTATAACCATTAAAATGTATACACGCATTTACTTGTCAGTGGTTGCAGCTGAACTGTTTACTTTGCTTTCAACTTCTTCAAGTCTATTTCATCGCAATCATATACACATGCCAATAATGGTTGTCACCCCCTTCAATTTTTGTAATTGGAGAGGGTGTGAGGTGTGTGTAGGCGGATCCAGGAATTTTGAAAGGGGGGGTCAGGTGGTTCGAAACACCCTTTCCCCATTGGCTCCGCCAACGCAAAAAAAAAAATCTTCAATGTGGTCTTAAGTCATTTTCAAAGGGGATGGTCGAATCCCCTGAAAACACACAAACCCCACCCCACCCCACCCCCACCCCCGCCATTGCATTGGTCCCCTCTCTGCATGAAAATGATAATGTCCCTCGAATGCATGGTGCAAAGTAAACATGAAGCCAAAAATAATTCTCACCTTCACTTCCTGATCACCCCTTGTTCTGATGACGACGCCAGTGTTACCCTCTCCGCCGTCATTGTTCTTGGACTCCCAGCAGTGACCTGGCATCCAAGCACAACCAAATCTATAGTCCATACTCACTTATCGACTAAACCGTTAATATCGTATCTAGTGGGGCTTTTGTAACTAGGAGAGAGAGTGCCCAAGAGCAAGAGAGAGAGAGAGAGAGTGAGAGAGAGTGCGAGGGAGAGAGAGAGAGAGAGAGAGAGAGGGAGAGAGAGAAGAGTGGGAGGGAGATAACACATGGTCTCATTCTTATTTCCTACTTGAAGGAACTTTTATAACATGGTTTGTTGGTTTGCACGTGGAATCTAAGTATACCCCAATTACGTGTCGGGGGCATGTAGGTTTGCAACCTTTCGATATGTATTTATCGATGCTCCAAGAGAGCAAACTGATTTACCGGGACAGATATGCTTTTTAGTATTTTGTATTAAGTTGACAATGTTTACTTCAGGCAGTAGATGTCCTCGCAACAGTCCAATACGATTTACAATGAATCATGCAGAAAGAATCAGACGGTATTAAAACAGACATTATGAATCAGACAGTATAAAACAGACATTATGAATCAGACAGTATGAATCAGACAGTATAAAACAGACAGTATGTAACAGACATGTGTTGACCTCGTTTAACTCTGACCCCAAGTTGGGGGAACTGTTCAGACTCCGGGACGCGAGGACGTCCGTCATCTAGAACGACGTCAAAGACACCATTTATATCGTAGCGCTGCCGATTGGTGTCGCCACTGTCCCAGAGGACCCACACCCAGTCTGAAACAATGGAACAGGATCATGATCACCATTGTTTCCTTATCTATAAGGATCACATGCATTCCACCACAAAATACACGTCCTATCATCAGTATAGCATACCTATACCACGTAGGACTTGACTACATGTTGTGTAAGAATTGCTCTACTCTTTAATTCTTGCATTTCTGAACACCAATAATTCACTTTATCATCAAAAAGTATTCCAGAAATAAGACGAATCGGCATGAGTTAAGTCATATTGTCATGTTGCCATGGTTTCATTCCGGTGTGCGGTAAAATTACAGCGTTTTACAAAAGCTTAAGAGCGGGAGCTAAATGTAGTGGCTGCGATCAGAATATGGCGAATACTGGCTCCAGTTCAATAATGGCGTCAGAGCATCCTTAAAAGTGAACTCATCTTTATATTAAACTGTTAGAGAAAATTGACAGATAGTATATATACTGAGGGAAACAAATAAGGGAACACAACTTCATGGTGTTCCGTTATTTATTCTCATATTTCCTCCCACAGCGCTATTCAAAGCTGGTGATTAAAACTGGAAATTATTAAAGAAACGCTTGAAATTTCCGGTGTTCCTCTATTTGTTTATCTCAGTATATTTGTGTTTAGGTGACCAACAGCAACCCTGCCAAAACTTACTTTCGTTCTCATCGTGGTTGATGATGGTGCCCACATCCTGCGAGCGCTGATCCTCCCCCCGCCAGTCTTTGGTTCTGATTACTCTGCTTCCAAGTGGTGCAAGCTCAGGGTTCTCGTACACGTTGTCAAAGTCGTCAGGCTTCGTGTCTCCCTCCTCACTGGCGATCTTGTCACGCACAGCGGCTACGATCTCATCCTGTCAAAACAGTTTATTGTTTAACGCCGCACTCAGCAATATTCCAGTTATATGACGGCCGTCTGTAAATAATCGAGTCTGGACCAGACAATCCAGTGATCACCAGCATGAGCATCAATCTTCACACTTGGGATACGATGACGTGTCGACCAAGTCAGCGAGCCTAACCACCCAATCCCGTTAGTCGCCTCTTACGACAAGTATGGTTTGCTGAAGATCAGTTATCATCCCGGATCTTCACGGATAGAGACAAGCATGGGTTACTGAAGACCAGTTATCATCCCGGATCTTCACGGACAGGACAGGCATTGGCTACTGAAGACCAGTTATCATCAAGGATCTTCACGGATAGAGACAAGCATGGGTTACTGAAGACCAGTTATCATCAAGGATCTTCGCGGATAGAGACAAGTATGGGTTGCTGAAGACCAGTTATCATCCCGGATCTTCATGGATAGAGACAAGTATGGGTTACTGAAGACCAGTTATCATCCCGGATCTTCACGGATAGAGACAAGTATGGGTTACTGAAGATCAGTTATCATCCCGGATCTTCACGGATAGAGACAAGTATGGGTTGCTGAAGACCAATTCTAATCACCCTAATCTTCACGGGTCGTCCAAACTGTGACACATACCATATCGCAAACGATTTAAAAACACGTATAAAAGACGTCTTCATGGATTTGTAGCGGCTAGTTTGGAATAGTGGCGGGTGCTACCGGTATGGCAGACGATGCTTTCTGATCTAGTAGCATAATTGTCACTGCTACTTGTCTTATTTAACTCAATTGAATCTGTTTGGTCCGATAATAGAGAATACGATTTTCGGGTTAAATCTGTTTCTTCTGCATAATCAGCTCGAACAGTCCCATCTGACAACACCTACCTACCAGTTATCATATTGCGGCTGTAAACCCTATCCTTCTATTTACCACTACAGTATTGAGGATTTGTCTAGGACATTTCTGTTATATGATCCATGATTGACCGCTAAAGGCAGAGTTAGAGATCTGTGTGTCCTCTGTGTGTGTGTTTTGTGTATGTGTCTCTCTCTCTCTCTCTCTCTCTCTCTCTGTGGTGGTTTGAGATAATGTAGAGCCTTCATAGCTTACAATGTCACTTGGATCGACCTCCCCTGCAATGCCCTGCGCTACATCCTTAATGGCCTGCTGGACATCCGGATAGTCGTCAATGTTGCTGCGGACACAAGCATAGATCTTGCCGATACTGTCCTGTAATGGAATCATATTATTACTGCAACAATCATGCACATTTTACACATAGCAATATATATACTTATTCAATGCATTCATTGTGTCCTTGGTGGACTCATTCATGGCAGGCATGGCCGCCGCTGCAGACATTGAGTGATTTTCAAGTATTATGTTGAAATGGGTTTCAACGTCTCGTAGAATGTATCTTCAGACAAGAAAATGTGTTTTATTGTCTTGATATCAATATTTCCATAACATAAACGGTACCTGTATTTTATAGTAACGGATCAGCTTCTGTAGGTCCTTCTCCTCTGCTACTTGCCCGTTACCAAGTTTTGCTAGAGACTTCAGCAAATCCTAAAAAAAGATCACTCTCACGATTAGATTTTGTTCCTAAGCCTTCACATAGCGATTGTGGTTCCTTTACGGTTAATATGAAAAAAGTAAATAGGCTTAAACATATATAAAGACACATCCCTGCACCAAATCTTACTCTGTCAGCGTCTCCGACTGGCATCCAAACAATGGGAGAGGGTTTGGTCTTGTGTTTCTTGGATCCTAGTTCTGTTATTAGACGGATAATAGGAACTTTAGCCTGAAACACATCCCAAACATTCCATATATTCACAATATAATCATCCAATAAATGCAACATATGCTTAGACACAAAAGATGTTAATGTATGTACACAAGACCGTGTAAGGAGTATAACGCTTATCATGACTGAATATAGAAACCTGACACATTATCGTTTTATAGCACGTTTTAATAACTACTGTTGTATCATTACATAATCATTTAATTGGAACTGTGTAAAATAATTGTTGTAAATGTTAGGTGTGACTTCAACAGTCCATTCATATAATTGTACAATTTCAGCTATTTTGTCGTTTTCATCAAATGGAATATCTTTCATAGAATAGTGAAGACTGGGCATTCCTATTCACTAACGTCATAGAGATATTTACCTCATTTCATATTGATTTCTAAATTAGATACCTTGGTAGTCTAAGGGAGACAAATCTTTCTTTAACGTCGCTTATGTTCTGATTACCTCCCTTGTGCAAATGAGAGTTAGGGGCCCTTGAATAAAATGGCGTCAAAAGAAAATGAGCATGAGAAGATCGTCTGGCACGTTGTCAATCTCCTACCCAGAGTTCCATGCGGCCAGCCAGCATAGTATCTCTGGCACAGGCCAGAAAAATGTGACGATTCGTCACATCTTGCAATGTCCATTCAATATAATGTACATATTTCTTTTACTCTTTTATTTTTGACGAGTCTACACATCTAACTAAACATCTTTAATAGAATGGTTTAGTTTCACTGAGAAAATATCCAAAAACATGTAACACTATTTCGATTTGCGTAGCGATCCTTTGTTTACATAGGTTGTACCGTTCCACGTGCTCTCATCGAAGCCGACGGAGAGCAAACGATGCAGCCAGTTTGATATCTAAATATGTACTGTCATAGACCTCACTGTCGCAGTTGTGGAAGAATATATATGTAACAATGTAAAACATTATGAAAAGAGCGCCGAAAAGCTTTCGTGAGTCCAGTCTCTTCTTATTATGAATATGCGCGTTTGATTACAAACAAGAGAAAAGTCCGGTCACGTGATATGCAAATTAGCCTGTGGCAGTGATGTTATGTTAAGTCCGCTGAGCCGGAGTTTGGCACGTTGTTCATTCAAGCAAGGACGTATATTCACGTATATATTCGTCTTTGATTCAAGTGATCGTCACAATAATAACTCTTTATTGGGTACGTGGCAGCCACCCCACAATTTCCTAGATTAAAGTCAATAATTTGTTGGGTCAGATAAAGCAGCATTGGAATAGTTGTGAGAGTAACTCACGCTGTCTGACTGTATATCGGGGCCGCTATCTTGTTTTTCGTCCGTCAACTTTCCATCTGTGATGACAACAATCCTGGGTCGGATTCGGTGTTTATGCACCCTTAGCACGCCACCTAGTGGAGGATAATTCAAAGGGGTTAGCATCGCTTAACTTGCACCATCGTCATCAATGATTTAATATGCATTACGTTTCATGTTGCATTCCCTTGAGAAGGGTTGGCATACTAAATACGTAGTAAAATACCAGCATATATATAGTCTCATCATCAGATGCAAAATGTTGTTATTAGTTTATGATGTATCACCTTTCCCTTGGATTGCTGCCAAAGCGACGATCAACATCTCAAAAAGTGGTGACCTTCCTTCTGGTTTTCTTAATGTCTCTGAAATAAGACAAAAACAAATAATTGATCAACCAATTATTCAAGTTCTACGTTATGTTTAATTGAGTTAAGGACAAAGATTCATACTGACCAAGAGCATCTCTGACTTTAGAGTAGTCGTTAGTAAGCTGCTGGACCACCCTTGCTCGGCCGGACACAGTGACCACAGCCACGTTCTCTTCCACATTATGATTCTCAGCGACCATCTCAACACCTGGACATAGGATGGTGATGTGACGTCATACCGAGTGTTGATAAATGAATATTGTTTCACGCATATAAAGTTCTTGCTGTATCACGGTAAATTAATTTTATTTTTAGCAATACTCCAGCAACACCCCGGCGGGTGACACCAGAAATGGTCTTCACACATTGTATCCATTTTGGGGATCGAACCGGGGTCTTTGGCGTGACGAGTAGCCATTGGGCTACACCACCGCCTCACGGTAAATGAATACGTATTATATGAGTTACTGGGTTCTAGGCTAGAGAATAACAGATGTTGATTGTCCCATAACACATTACTGGTAAAAGAGAATAGTTGTGAGCATAATATGAACATACATTCACTTACATGTGCAGGCACAAGAACGTGTTAGCTGTCTGACGCCACAACAATGAATGGGATTTTGACCTTGAAGTTTCAGATGTATCGATGATCTGGCATCATTCAATTATAGTCAAATTACTAAGTCGTCACCGATTTACCCACATTAACTAGAAATAGAAGAGATCTGTGAAACCCAGCCAGTGGTGTCTAAATTGAACATCTTGTATCACACTATTTAATTATGACACATCAACACACGCATGTAATATTTGGAATGGAACAGCTGATAGTCATTAAGGAGGACTGTGAAAATGGTTTTCTAGTTTGTTTGTTTGTTTGTTTACGTTTCGGTTCGGGCATTGAAATGCAGCATGGGGTAATATTAAGTAAAAAAAATGTTGGTACTCAGCGGCAGACTGGGAACTCACCATCGATGAATTTTTCTGCGATGTCCTTCATCTGACAGAAGGCTTCACCAGCCATACTCTGGGAGCAGTCAAGACAGAGGATGGTGTCCAGAGACTGAGCTCGAGGGGACAAATCTGTTGACACAGGTCGCATCAACTTTATCACAGACAATCTTAAAGTATTCACCTCTAAGTTGCCCAACTGCCAAAATAGCATATTATATACACCGTGATCAACCCATTTACATCCAAGCAGGGCTGTTCCAGTTCGTTACAATTGTCATACTCACAGCTTAAATTAATTATCATAACAACATTTCCCCCCTCTCTATCTCGTAAGTATATCACGGTTGATGATTTGGGCTGCCATATCGTAACGTGTAGATGAAGATGGGGCTGATGTTTGCATTCTGAAGCGTCTCAAAGGGCCATCTATCGCCCACCGTTATTGTGTATCCACCACTTACCATCTTCAAGGGCTGACTGTGCTGACTTCTCTATCTTCTTTAAGTCTACTTCAGAGTAGTTTCTTAGCGCTGATCTTGCTAATGCCATCAGTTTGTCTGTTGACGCCCCTGAAAACAACGACATGGATATCAAAACATGAACAAATTGGATTTCAATAGTGTTTTGTTTTAATTCATGTTATCTTCGGGAATCCATATTCAGGTTTCAACAAAACTCCTCTTAATCTTGTTTATTCATCACACACATTCGCGCGTACAGATATCTATCACAGAAGACTATTACCGAATGTACCAGCTATCGCTCACCTTTAACTTTTGGCTTTGCACCACCTGTAGACGTGACAGAGCTGTCGAAAGAACAGATTCACAAAAAATACCGCCAATTAGTAAAACGTTTCTAAAAAAGAACATTGTGACTGTTATCTGTTAATCGATGAAGCTTCCTTTACTAGAATACCATCTGACCTCGTGCTTTACAATTCGAAAACCACAACGTATTGAAAATAAATAGATTCTTTTATGATATTTGATATCTTTACAGAACGTCTTCCTTACTGTGTTGCAGATTCTTGTTTAGTTTCTGTTGAGAGATGAGGATTGGAACCTCCTGTAGGATGAGTGTCAAGGTCCGATTGATGGCGTGTTGCTCCTGGATGAACTTCACATCCAGGAACTGATAAAGTACCTTCTTGTTGAGCTCCAGTGTGTGCCATCGATGCTTTGGAGGATTCAGTTCTTTGTCTACTACATTTTAAAAAGTGTTACTCCATAGTGTTGTGATTACTTGTGATACATGTCTTACAGTAGGCACCACAACAACATACATCTATATAGCATGACGAACTGTGGAGAAGAGACATTCACGATTTGCCTTAACAGTTTGTAAATGAAATATGAAGCAATAATTTTGATATTATCCTTGAATGAATTAGTTAAGTTTAATGCAGATTGTTTTAAATGAGGTGTCGGGTAAATATAACCCCATTTGATCCATGTCTTAAAAACTATAGAACAACTCACGTTTGTACAAAAACGTTTCCATGGCGTTCCTCTTGAGCGTATGCTGCTATGGCCGCCGTGTTGCCAGGCTGAACGCTGACAGGACCAGAAATGTCCAGAACAGGAGGTAAACACTTGTCCGAGTCTCCTGACGTTGGATTACAAGACAGCGCTGTATCAACCTTAGCGGGGGAAGGAGCTCCTTCTTTACAAACCTCATGGACCTGCTTTTGTATTCTTTTTACTGTACCTAAAATTGACTTGATCTGAGTCGCTTGTACAGATTGATCTGCCTCCTTCGCATTCAATGTTCCGTGCTTATCCTCATCTGGAAGGAAACCATTCACATTGTATTCTAATTCAGAATGAACAATTTGAGTTGTGCACCAACATATATAGCCTATGTAAGAATGAAAGGTTCCTAACGTCCCCAATTAACACTTTGCATATGCTAGATGTAAATATTTTTTATCGAGTTTTTGGCTAGAAACATGAAACCGGCATTGGTCCAGAATAGTAAAGGAAACCACACACTCAATTTAATGATAATTATATTCTCGTACATACAGAGAAACCAAACACACACACACACACACACACACACACACACTTGAAAATGACTAAAGACCACATTGAAGTTAATGTTGTGCATTAGGGGGCTCAGTAGGGTTCGAACCCCTTCACCCCACCCCCACCTTATCCCCCACCCCTTCCGCCTATTGTGATGCTTCAGTGTATAAAAATCTCATTTCAGTGTGGATATTTTTAAAAAAGACGGAATGTTGAGTGTATAAGCGAAGCGTAGAGCCGTCACTATATTAGTTTTGGCATCAAACTAGTATTACAAATCTATCCAAAGTCATGGACATATTATCGCTTCCACAACTCATATAACACATATATACAGAGGTCGCGTAAGTGCACATGTACCTGACAAACAGTACAGCTCGTCGTCCTCTTGTGCTTGTGTTCTGTAGGAGAAAGATAGCATTAGATTTCACTTGATCTCTTACTACATCCCTGTTCGTGTGGACCAACGTGCATATGTATCTGAACGATTCTATCATTCTATCGTTGTTGCAGCTGCCTCTGTTTAATGAATTCAAGGAAGGAAGGTCATTCTTAACGTGCACTTTACACAACTGACTTAACTATGGGCGATTATGAAAGCCCGTGGGTGTTGGGGTGGGTGTGGATATGGGAATGTGTCTGGGTGAGGTTTTTTTTGTGGTTGTGAGTGTGTATAATATATCATGGTTATGTCAAACATATAATGGTTCGGTTCTGACGAATATCACTCGACTATGTTTCTTCATAACAGGTTCGAGTGGTTTGACCATTACCATAACGCTTGGAGGTTTCTCGGCCGGTTACAGCCAATGGATAAATACTGTAATCGTTGGGGTGATTTACGATTGAATTTGCATATAAAAAGTCAGGTGTATACTATGTTTAGTGACTTTAAACATATAAAAAGTCAGGTGAGCACTATTTCAGTCACCTCAAACATATAAAAAGTCAGGTGTATACTATTTTCAGTGACCTTAAACACACATGATGCTCCATGTTAAATGATGAGACGAAAATCTTGACACATAATTATAGTAAGGCCACTTGTATAGCGCTGGACTCCCCGTCGCACGGACATGCTCTAAGCACATACAACGTGATGGATGATATTACCCCGGATAACCCAAGCTGCCCGTGAGGCGCTAGAAGGTTAATAGTCATATGACTTATACCATCGGGTACCCATTTGCTTCTGGGTGAACAGACTACAGAAGCAATTTGGAACAAACTCACTTGCCTAAGGTGTGACCACATAGGCCCTTGCTTGTGGGGCAGGACAGAAGTCCTAGAAACTCCCAGGAGTCAAGTTGCCAAACATGGTCACCAACGTTGCTTAACCTCAACTGATTTGTGATTTGCGCTCTATTCACAAACCCACACACCACCACGAATCACTTGGATAATATATTCAATAGATCGAGAGTATTGATTGGCAGCATCTGATTCACACAGAGGCCACACGTTAAACTGTTCGCGTGCAAAAACACGCGAAAAAATATATTTTTCAAACGTTGATTGAGGCACATTGTTATTGTTTTGTTTGTTATCATTGTCATAGTTATAGTGGGGAAATACAAGTATTGAGGTTGAATAATTTTATGATACCAGAAATGCCTGAATGATATCGATCAGTGAACTTATTATCTAATATACACTGTCAAAAGACTCAGACAGTGAACAATACTTTACGTTGCATGCAACACATAAGTCCAGCTGTTTCTCAGCAGTGGCCAGCATATAATTGTGCCTTGAATTGACAACGAAATGGAAGCATGAGAAATTCCTGGAAACAGATTTGGATTGATACCTACCTTGGTGCTTCTGTTGTCGACGGTTGGCCGTATCTGGGCCGTGGTATTGGCTCAGATGTTGGAACGCTCTCAAAGGACACCTCTACTTCCACCTTACGCTTAGTAATCAGGAACACAAAGTCTTTAAACATGTTGATAAGTTGGCCTGGCCTGCTCTCCATGTCCTGTACTGACTGTTGGCTAGCATGGGCGACCTCAATCACGATAGAGCCGAAGAATATCCGTTTCATGTAAACTTTGTACTTCTCAAAGATGTCCTGTAACAATTTTCGCGAATAACGAAAATCGTCCTCCTTAAAACTCGCAAGTAAAAGCTCGTAAAATTGTCAATAGCCTCCGAAACTTTAAAGTGAATGTTTCTCTTGATCCTCATTTCGGAACCCTCGAAATCCCAATTGAATGAGATACTTTTCCCATCGCTGAGCTTTCCTGAAACGATGCTTTAACATTCATTTATACCATCCTCTACTGTACTATGATATACGCTACTTATTCATCAAAGACGTTTTGAAACCTTTTTAACGTATGTAGAACAAATTTCACAAAGGTCTCATAAAAATCGACATGATGCACATACAATTGAGACATGGGAAAGGGAATTTCATAAAATGAATTACAAATGTATTTAGAAGATTTAGACGGGGATCAAATCTGTCGGTATGGCTGCCGTTACATATGGGACAGGTCATTAAGCCTCATGTTACCTCACCTTACTACTGAATTTTGTTAACACGGTATATCAATTATCACCAGTGCAGTAGCCTAGTGGTTCAAACATTCGCTCATCACCGAAGGGTAGACAGAACTAATTCGTCTACCAGTGTCAAATACGATGCATATAACCAATGTTATGTGTACAGTACCTACAAGTTCCCCGCCCCTTTCCAGTCTGTCCATAGCTTGATCATCAATTCGGATGTCTACGATGGTACAGCAGTGTCCAATCTGAACGAGTTTACCTTCCACCTCCTTGCGAAAATGAATGTTAGGTACATTATCTTCTTTAACTTTGACCAAATCCTCTGGTTCTTCTGTGTCCTGTGGTCCTTCTAGGTTCCTCATCGTCATGGCCCCATGGTCCCTCATCGTCGTGCCCCTTGAGCCTTCCTCAGTCACGTGTACCTTCACGCCATGATGACTGACGTCACCAGGCGAAATCCTATCTGAAATATTATGGACGATCAAAGACCACAATATTGGTCAATACAAAGAGACTGAAATACCAAGTGCAAGGGACACAGAAGCATATGTTATAGGTATAATAACTAAAAAAAAGTCATTTCATTGACGAGTAAACTGTTGAGATGGTCTGCAAATTCAGATTATGATAAACTGTATACAGCCATTTGTTCTCACAATACGCCACATATTTTCTCATAATCTTAAAATTGGCGGTTGTGTTGTACAACAAATGGCAAGGACGATACGCTGTATGAAAACATCGCCACATAAACAGAGTGTTTTCCATGAATTGTTTTGTTTTACGGATTAAATAGGGCGCGGTGATTCGGGCCCAGTCAGGCTGGTAAAGTTCATCATCAGCTCAGGATCCATGCCCCATCGACTCGCAGCCCTGCCGGCCAATGGGCCTTCTCCGTGGAAGTGCTGCCGAGTTGAACCCACTAAGTACTTTGTAGGGAATGTGGTCTACCTGCGTGATCCAGAGTGTCAGAAGGGGTCTGAAAGTCTTGGCAGAGGACCGGGTCGCTTAAGATACTGAAAAGGTGTCTGGCAGCCAAGTTCAGTCCATATTTACATTGTAATGCAAAATCACACACTAACGGTTACGAGTGGAAAGTGACTGGTCCTGAAGGCCTTCTGTTTCATTTTCAGGCCCGCCGACTTCATTCAAGCGACGTGCTCAGCTGGATTACTCTTTTCCTCAACACTCGGTGCAGCAGTAGCACCACCACAATCCCCATTATCAGTACAATCATCATCATCATCATCATCATCATCATCATCATCATCATCACATCATCATCATCATCATCATCATCATTATTACTATTATCATTATCATATATCTCATGTATGCATTTATATGTGTGTCTATCAATTGCGGTATGCGTGTGCGCATGCGTGTGTGTAAGAACATCACAACAACATGAAGCTCAGGTGAAAATGTGTGTCCATAGTGGATTTAGGTGACAATGAAAATGCCTCACGCGCTTCTCTCACGGGAAGGGCTCATATTAAGGAGCATACGTCACGTGTTACCTCAATAACACACACACACACACACACATTAAACTATTGTTGACGCAACAATATTCACCTGAGTTTCATATTGGTGTGATAATCAATGGAATGTTCGTTCCCATAACATACCTGTGTTTCGTCTAATTCTAACGTAGGTACTGTCGTCGCCACGCATCACTTCATTTTCCTCTCCGCCGACTTCGATTCTCCGCCTCAAGTTGGGTTGTGTAGAAAATGGTGGATGATCCACTGTGCAGGACAAACTCCAACTGATGTCAATATATTCATGTACCAGTGCATTCAGTACATATCATAACTACTTAGTCATGGAAGGGTCTTTCAAACATTAAACCACGATATGAGCAAATCTTGTGTACTATAATACGTTGACAACTACAAATCGTACATATTTCCTAAGTACCTACAGTATATATCCGAACAAGAACAATTGTAAATATCTAGACAAATCTAAATTCTACCATGACTTCAGTAAATACTGGGTTGTGACTGGATCATTAAAGTCATTCAGAGGTATATAAACACGTCATATACCCCTGAATCGATTAGCGCAGCGGCACCGTCGCAACGGTAAATAGTTCGTTTTTAAAATCTTAATAACACGGTTAAGATAGAATGGAGATAAACATACTGTGTATGAAAATCTGAGGTATATAACGAAGTAATAATAGCTCTAATTTTTGGATGTATAAAACCTGATATCTTATATATATACCAGAACCAGGACATATAAATATATATACCAGAACCAGGACACGTCATAAATATGTATATCAGAACCAGGACATATCATAAATATGTATACCAGAACCAGGACATATCATAAATATGTATGCCAGAACCAGGATATATCATAAATATGTACACCAGAACCAGGACATATCATACATATGTATACCAGAAGCAGGACATATCATAAATATGTACACCAGAACCAGGACTTATCATTAATATGTATACCAGAAGCAGGACATATCATAAATATGTATACCAGAAGCAGGACATATCATAACTATGTATACCACAACCAGGACATATTATAAATATATATACCAGAACCAGGACATATCATAAATATATATACCAGAACCAGGACATATCTTAAATATGTATACCAGAACCAGGACATATCATAAATATGTATACCCGAACCGGGACATATCATAAATATGCATACCAGAGCCAGGACATATCATAAATATGTATGCCAGAACCAGGACATATCATAAATATATATACCAGAGCCAGGACATATCTTAAATATGTATACCAGTACCAGGACATATCATAAATATGTATGCCAGAGCCAGGACATATCTTAAATATGTATACCAGTACCAGGACATATCATAAATATGTATGCCAGAGCCAGGACATATCATAAATATATATACCAGAACCAGGACATATCTTAAATATGTATACCAGTACCAGGACATATCTTAAATATGTATACCAGTACCAGGACATATCATAAATATATATACCAGAACCAGGACATATCATAAACATATATAGAAGTACCAGGACATATCTTAAATATATATACCAGAACCAGGACATATCATAAATATGTATACCAGAGCCAGGACATATCTTAAATATGTATACCAGTACCAGGACATATCATAAATATGTATGCAAGAGCCAGGACATATCATAAATATATATACCAGAACCAGGACATATCTTAAATATGTATACCAGTACCAGGACATATCTTAAATATATATACCAGTACCAGGACATATCATAAATATATATACCAGAACCAGGACATATCATAAACATATATAGAAGTACCAGGACATATCATAAATATATATACCAGAACCAGGACATATCTTAAATATGTATACCAGTACCAGGACATATCTTAAATATGTATACCAGTACCAGGACATATCTTAAATATATATACCAGAACCAGGACATATCATAAATATGTATACCAGAGCCAGGACATATCATAAATATGTATACAAGAACCAGGACTTATCATAAATATGATTACCAGAACCAGGACATATCATAAATATACATACCAAAGCCAGGACACATCATAAATAACAGAACCAGGACATATCATAAATATGTATACAAGAACCAGGACTTATCATAACTATGATTACCAGAACCAGGACATATCATAAATATACATACCAAAGCCAGGACACATCATAAATACCAGAACCAGGACATATCATAAATATGTATACCAGAAGCAGGACATATCATAAATATGTATACCAGAGCCAGGACATGTCATAAATATGTATACCAGAACCAGGACATATCATAAATATGTATACCAGAACCAGGACATATCATAAATATGTATGCCAGAACCGTACATATGTATACAAAACCTGTAGCCTTGAAAGATATGCGATCGTATTTTGTAAATCCCATATCATTAATGTGGTGGAATATGTACAAATGAGATGTCATTTCTGAGATGATGATAATATGTCCCACCCCCTCATTATACCACTGTGTAGGGAGACATTATGACACTGGCTACGTTATGTTCATGTGCTACTCCAACGAAATGTCAAAGTTTTTCGTCTTATCTTCAATCGCATACGAATGATGATGACATAAACCTGTGTTGAACAAATATTTAAACAAACCTTTGACCTCAGCGCCAGTTTGGTTGTCCACCCATACATTCGACTTTCCTACCATCACTTTGTTGCGCCGTCCCGTTATTTCGATGTCCTCCTCGGCCATGCTGAATCTTACTTTTGCTAGACTACCCTCACTGTCTGTCTGTAAGTGCACTCTTCATGAATACTGATAGGGTCTAGCGTTTATCTGAAACAACAGAAGCATTATACGAGGGTATGTCACATTTTTTTAATGCCAGATTTTTAGCTTAACATTGGCTTTTGGCTATTCTAAAGACAATTATTGTAGCTCAATAACCTTTGCGCGTCCATACTTGTCATGGTTCTCACGAGCATACCTCAGGGATGAAAGTTTAAGTTTGTCTGGGTGATTTATTTATACGTAATAGAAGAAAAGCACATGAATAAACTAACAGGATTATAAAGATAAAAAAGGTTATAAAATTTGCACTACAAAATCTGTTTGAAATTGTAATAGGTGTGTCTGGAAAAATCTGAAGAGACAAACGTAACCTAGCTGTTCGTTATTGGACAAGTAGTTTATGTTATAAATTAGTGGTGGTCCGATTAATTGAAATTAAATAATGATTAAACGACCAAGCAATCGATCATGATTTCTCATAATCGAACACAAACGATTTTGGTACACTTGTTTGCATTAACAACATTTTTCACAACGTTTTGTCTGTTACATTTCATAAGTACTACAAGCTCGTTCCTTGTCATGATTGAAATTATCTTAAAGATTCCAAGAAATTTATGGGTGGGTGGGTTGGGTTGGGTTGGGTTGTAATAGATATTGCTGTACAGATTGTATGTGTAGCCCGTGAAAGCCAGTACAATGGACATCGTACTCTTCTGCACCGGAGGTAGATAAAGCATGATTAATGTGACTCTGTCAGTGGTATACCGGACAACAACGTCAGTGGCTGTTCACTGACCTGCATCCCTTTAGATATGGTCTTAATATTAGTGACACTGGATCTCGCGTCCTATGGCCTTTGCCATGCCACTAAGATTTACTGATGACTCCCCTGCCATGGTTTCAGTCGTCACTACCAACTGTGGTGTAAACCGAAAGCAGACGCTCTTTGTCACACAATGAACAATCATAACGGTTTGTAATCCCAGAAGCAGTTAGTACATTTACTAAAAGTGTGGATATATTATCTCATTTAGTCGTACATGTTCACACACCAGTTTTTGCAATGTATCTTACCCGTTATGGTTGTGTGAAGGTATCCAGATGACGGGCATGATGGATATCCCCAGTTTGATGTTTTGTCTATGTGATGTGGATCTATATATAGGGTATAAAGTGTTCAAGTATTTGATAAAGGTTCAGTTGGTCAGCTTGACCTGTGGGTTGTTACAATACGTGCTCCTCAACAGGCAGGTGAATTTCTTGTAAGTATATGCATGAGACAGTTGAAATTTGTGATACGTTACCATAACACACAGAAGAGAATCAATATGTTATACCATGGACATATAACTTGTGTAGATTAGCTGAAACAGTTTGGACATATATGTAAAACTAAAGGCATTTTTTAAGCGAAAATTCATTTTGTAACGACGATAATGGATTTCTACATAACATTCCTTATTATTTATCTCTAGACCACTGAATTATGCAAGGACAGTGTCAGTATTATCATGACTTCTTTGTACCAGGAAGGTCGCGCAACACGGCCCAAAACTGTGGTTGACAGCTTGGATCTATATTTAGCACTAGTGGAAAGTCCTTGGTTGGGTTTCTCGAGAATGCACGTCTCGCAGGAAGTACAATCACAGCTGATACAGTGATAGTGTGTTAATATGTAACTCTGTTCCTGTAGGTGTAGCGCCCATGTTCGCGTACCACCAAGTGTCCCAGGTATCAAACACAGCATTTTAGAGTATATCGTTACCTTGATCAAGGAAACTCCGGCATGTCATAATAGGCATGCATGCATGCACGTATTCAATACATGTGCTTCATGGAACTTATGCATCATGTAGGTTCTTTGTTTAATTGTATATTTTTGTGGTGTGCAGTAGCTTTTTACGAGTATTAAATTAACGTATTTATTGATTTACTTCCTGTTATATTATATAAATTGGAACATAGAAATAGGAAGGAACTACATTCAGAATCAAGGAACATAATGTGTCAAGAAAGGACAAACAAACAAACAAACAAACAAACAAACACACACACACACACACATATCACGGCGGGGGACACCAGATATGGGTTTGACACCTTGTAACCATGTGGGGAGTAGAACCCGGGTCTTTGGTGAGACGAGCAAGCGCTTTAACCACCAACACACACACACACACACACACACACACACACACACACACACACACACACACACACACCACAAAGTATATGTGTGCGTATATATGTGTGTGGGTAAAGTCTTTTGTGGGTGCATATACATACACAATGATCGGCTTGTTCAATAGTTATTTTGTTTTTAAGATATCAGATATCCGAAGCGCGTAACCGGAAAATATGTTCTGTGTGTTTATTTGAGCATCAGTGACACGTGATGAAATTCTATTTATAACGGTGGAAACTACACAAGGGAACGAAAGTAAAACAAGGCACAAACAAGTAAGTGTATGTCGCATTTGTAGTTATTCGAGTATCTCAATATTAAATATAATACTTACAGCCTCACCAGGCTCGACGTGCTGAGATATAACTGTTGGGGGACATTTTACAGTTATGTCCACACCTCATCTGATGAACATACTTGGTGGAGAATGTAGTGTGATACACTGTCTGATTTTCGTCCGCATTTTCTTGTCGTTTTGTGACACAAGGGAGCTAACTCCACAAGTACTGTTGTTGGTGTAATACATTTACCGACGCAGACGGAACTTACTTACTTACAACCGGTTAATGTTGTAGTCGCCCCAGTCAGAAATCATTCAGATACACCACTGCAGGCATTGGCAGCGATCAGTGACATCGGGTACCGATGACACAATCCAAATCGGAACACGCACACACACACACGCACGCACGCACGCACTTCTGGAACCGCAGCTGCAGTTCAAAACGGTCACTCTTTTAAATCACCGCTTCAAAATTTTGAATAAACACGGAAACAGATCAGATGGGATAAGAGGGATTTCGTCAGTCGTTTGTCCAGGACATAATTAAGTTTTAATGATCCTTATTAAAAGGGTGAAACCTTTTCACAGCGCCATACAATTATTATTATTATTATTATTATTATTATTCCTACATCGTACTTCCCTAAAGCTTCACCCCCTGCAGTATTGTGCCGTTATGATGTGTCGTGTCATCCTATTTCAGATAGTTGTTGTTGAAACAAGGGAGCTATGATGACAGAACTTCATTTTAGAGAAATACGGAATGGAGTTGCCTTATCTCACACCGACAGCCCAGTAGTCGTTGATATAGCGTGTAACCAGGACATGTTTGAGATGTTGGATAAGGACGAGAAGGTTGAGGGTAAGGAAGGATAGAAGGATCTACGTGTTCATCACATCTTCATTATTCATATCAATTGATGTTAGCTGATGGATGTTCGGAATGCTCTCAAGAACTGTTTCCTGTATTTGTTGGTCTCAGAAACTAATCCTACGCTATCCTATTTAATTTAACGCACGTTTCTATTGTTATGTTACTTTCAGAGACAGAAACATTGATCTGTGTCCATTGGGAGCACGTTCCAGATGCTACATACGTACTGTCCTCGATGACTCTCACCAGGGGTTCCCAGGAAGAGTTGGACCTTCAACACGAGGTGGCAAAATCACTTGTCCGAAACACATCCATGCTGCAACAGTTTCTATCTGACCTTTTCAAGAGTTTCGATGCTAAGCTTGTTGCGGTCAAATATACTCCTCTCCAATTCATACTGCAACACAACGACAGAGAATCGATGGGGTCAATGGCTCGGAATTCAGCTGTCTTGCAGGCAATATTCAAGGAAATGATGTCCTCCTGCTGCAACACCCTGCCTCCGGTGCAGCTGAGGATGAAGATTTTTAACTCATCCCTTCCGCCCTGTGCTGACTTGAAGCGGGAGTGTTTCCTCCAAGCAGACCACGCATTCCCAACAGATTCCATGTACATCCCATATCAGCAGAGTATGGGCAGAGCAGTGTAAGGTCCTTAGACATTAACCTATGACATGTATCCGAGGGAAGGGCCCTGTTCCTGTTAACATCTACTTAACTGGGGTTTCGTGTATTTACCGCTCTGAAACTGGCTATTTGCTGTATTTTAATGCAAATATGTGTAAACATAACAATAGATCTATAAGCAATCGAAAGGTAACATATCAATTACAACTTATCGATCCAATGGACAATATGTTGTTGGAACGATGCATTGTACAGCAATAGAGTGACTACAAGAATGGTAAATTGCTTCGTGACTAATTGTCTCCAATTTGGGATTTTTCTAGCAATACCAGATCAAGGGGTAGGATATGTATGTTAGAGAATTAGTATTATTCTCATTCACAGATCTACAGATACAATACTACAAGACATCGAAGGCGAGGAAAATCAGGAATCTATTGGTAATCGTTTCGTTTCCCTGGAACATGAGATGACGGAGCAGAGAAGGATAATTGAGGCACACGCCAGGGAGCAGAGAGAACAGACCTATGAAATCCGAGAGGCTCTGTCCATGATCACTCAGCGCATCAGAGGCGACTCCGAGAAGGATGCACCACAGGTAACCGTGGGTCAGCTTGTGTCCGTCAGTGACAAGACGAAACCAAGCGAGCATTCCTCTGTAGAGACCTCATCTCTGATAAAGGGATTGACGAAAGAGCCTGACATCAAGAAAGAAACCATCACAACAAAACCACAATCACATGTAGAGTTGGAATCGTCTGCAGCGTACCCAACTGATGAGGTCAAAACACCTACATCTGATGGCGTCATCTATTTTCCTGTGAAGAAAGAAAGTTCTGAAAATCAGTCAAATACAGTTCAACCCTTTGTCGGTGTTGAGGAAGGAATCACTAAACGCGGAACTCCCCAACACGATCCAGAAATCACTGACCCGTCAGATAGCTGCCTAACAGAGGAACAAATCCAAGGAAAGCCTGATAGACGGGAACTTGATGTACCAAAGGATCCCAATGAAATTAGAAGGTGTTGTATACCAAAATATAATCATTACGTTCGATGCATAAAACCTATATGGATACATACTAATAATTCCAACATACTTTGCTTGAAATTTTACTATTTACTAACATCAATCATAGTAATGCAATATTTTACTATCAAAGGTACATATATACTCTGCTTTGTTAGAAGGTCTGGATCTGCTGGTGACAAACCAGTCCTAGGAGAAGGAGGGAAGATGATGGAAGTACTAGCTGAAATCAAATCAGCCCTAGTCAAACATTATGAAGTGGGCAAAGTCTGGGGATGTGTGGAAAAGACTTTGGAGGAAGGTAATATAAGATTTAAGAAAACATGTATATGTAAGAATGTTTCATTGCACAGTGAATATGTATTGTAAATTGATGCAGTGACCATACTGTCAACCACAGTGCCAACGTATTTTGTTTGTTCTTTTGACAGACGGTTCTCCGTATCCAAAAGCGAGGGGCGTCATGAATACCGTCTTGTGTCTTGACACATCATCCAGTATTGGAGAAGAGGGGCTAGAGGACATGAAACGCCTCCTAGAAGCGTTCATTGATGGTAAGAAACGTATTGTTACTGTTGAAGGTGATGAGTATCTATTCAGAAATATTTGTGTCAGTCGTGCAAAGCCGGGAGTCAGTGTTAAAGTTCCAAGTAACCTGTGCTCCGTTTAACATGTTCCGTATCGGGGGAGTTTGTTGCAAATGATACAAACACTTGTCTGGCTCAGACTCGGTGATCTCATGCAGATTATAAATTACTCCACTGGCTACCCGTAGAGCACCGCATCACTTTCAAGACTCTTTCTATCACATATTGGGCACTAAATGATGACAACTCCCCAACTTATATTAAGGACATGCTACATCACTACAAACCCATAAGAGCTTTAAGATCAGCCGATGATAAACTACTTCATGTTCCTAAAATTAAAACAAAGATGGGCGAAGTGGGTCTTTTTTGCAGCTCCAAAACTGTGGAATGCCCTACCACTGGAAATCAGAAATTGTGAAACAAAAAACTCTTTTCTATCTCATCTGAAAACATATCTTTTTTCCGCTCACTTCAACAAGCGCCTTTGAGCAGTCCAATCTGGAAACCAGGCGCTATACAAATCAATTATCATTCAATCATACACCCACCATACATCTGCCATTCTGCTGACTGTAGAAACAAACACACGAGTTTAATGTATTGCATAATGTGAGTAATGTTTCATCAAACCAGACATAGAAGAATCTGCGGAGGATCTGGAACAGGAGGAAAATATTGCAGTTGTGGCATTTGGAGGCGGGGCCTCGACTCTTCATCCCATCTCGAACGACTATGGCAGTGTGAGAGATGCAATAGGTGAGGCGTCCTGGCCACTTCTAAGAAACATGTTGAAACTGAAGGATGTACAATTATGTGTAACTCATTTACATCATAAGTCAAGTTGAGCAGTGGAAAGTATTCACGTTGATGTACGGATGCAAGTGCAATACAAATCAGACTCATGCAGATTATACAAACAGCTCTGATTCTCTGCGCAGGAAGCCTTTGTGAATTCTTTCTCACCAATCATGCAGACAGTGTTTAAGTCTTGGGAGAAGTGTAACGAATCACCATTGTTAACAATACTTAACTCGGCATCATGTATAACATGCCCTGTTTCAGAGGACATTCAGCTTGGTGGATCGTCTCCTCTACTTCAAGGACTATTGGTCAGTGTTGCAGCACTAGCTCTCGGTATGTGTCATCGTATCAAAAACATCGTGCCTTGTGTCAGTATCAGATTATATGTGTGAAGACATTATTGACATACATTAGTATTTCAGACCATGTTGTTGTTTTTGTTTACAAGGGCAAGGTGGCAGCGGTTCGGAGACATCTCAACTCTCGCGGATCATCGTGATGACAGATGGTCTTGTGACAGGAGAAAGAACTCCTTCTGATACGGACACAAAAACCACATGGTTATCCCAGCAGGTACACTCCTTAGTACACAACAATGAATTACTGCTGGTAACTTATTTGTCTGTTTGTTGCATGAGTGAGTGAGTGAGTGAGTGAGAGAGAGATTAGTTTTACGCCACATTCAGCAATATTCCAGCTATATGGCGGCGATCTGTAAATATTCGAGTTTGGACCAGACAATCCGGCGATCGACAGCATGGGTATCCGCAGTTAGGAAACGATGACATGTGTCACCCAAGTCAGCGAGCCTGATCACCGGATATCGTTAGTCGCCTGTTACTTATGGTTACTGATGACTCTATCTTACTACAGTATGGCGACTTTAAGATGACGCTCTATATGAGTCTATGTCTCAATTATACATATAGGTATGTGTTAAAACAATTCCTTACTTTTAGGACAAGAACCGGTTTATGTCGACACTGAGGATTTTAAGACCGAAAGAGACGCCATGCAAGGTGATCGACGCGATGGTGTGGATCCCTGTAGGAGATGCAAACTCGGTAATAAGTGTTATAGACTTTGTCCTTCAACAGTACATCGTGGAAAATTGCATAATGCTCGCTGATTGTCTCACAGATGAAAATATGTGTTATAAGTGTGGTATTTTTACTTGGCAGACATTTCTACAAGACTTGGTCAGTTGGTCAAACGGTAATCTTTTGAACGGAAAGGAAATCAAGAGCCTCTGTCGCCATCAGGGTCATCAGGTAAAATAGCATTGTTTAATGAGTGAGTGAGTTTGGTTTTACGCCGCTTGTAGCAATATTCCAGCAATATTACTGCGGAGGACACCTAAAACGGGCTTCACACATTGTACCCGTGTGGGGAATCGAACCCGAGCCTTCGGATTGACGAGCGAACTCTTTAACCACTAGGCTACCCAACCGTCCCATTGTTTCATGATATTTACCAGGACATCTAGAACGGGAAGCTGGGAGATATCGGAAATCATTGCAGCAGAGATAGTATGTATCCCCAGCAGTGCCACATCATTCAAGAATATTTTGCCTCCCAAACTTTGTACTGGCGAAGACCCAACTGTGCTTTTTTTGACATATATATCTACAAAGAAACAAATTAAGCACCCCCTGTATTTTCGCAATTATAGGTTTCAACACGTACATAAAACTTCTCGTGGTGACCACGATGGAAAAAAATGAGTTTTTCTGACCCGTATGATACTGTGACTAATTAAAAAACGATTTTATGATGGTAATTGCTGATTTTATAAAGAACGCTGATTTTCATAGAAAACCACGTCTGCACAAGTATGGTCCTGGAATGTTTAATGTTTAATTTATTGGTGAATGTGAAATTCAAAATGTCATTTTGCGTGTCTTACACGATTCAAGGTCAATACCGAGTGTAACCTCCATGTGACCGTATGACAGGCAGCGCTCTCCCACTTGTACCCCCGTCAGCCTCCTGGTCCTCTGAAGGGGCAGTCTATGCCATTCCTCGTGTAAAGCAGCTTCCAATTGGGCCAGGTTCCGTACAGGAGGACCCCTTTGTTGCACACGACGACCAATCATGTCCCAGATATGTTCCAAAGGGTTAAGATCGGGTCTCATTCAATCGTGAGATATGTCAGGGGTGCTTAACTAAGTTCTGTGTGTATAGTTGAACAAGTATTCTATGTGGAAATATTTATCAAGACCTATGTGATTATATCTGAATCCAGAATACAATTGTCAGTATGTCGGATGTTGGATTGTTCCTGTAATTACATGTCCAGAGAGATCCAGGGAGCAGTGCGCCACCAGTGTCGTCGTTAGGAAGAGTACAACCTACAGGGAGGACGCCAGATACCACTGCGGTATGTGGTCTGGGTATTGTTGTATGGTGAATACGTCATTAATCTTGACATAAGAACATTGTGTTCTGCTGATCTGAGAACGCTTTGCTTCTCCCATACGTTTAACCGACCTATACTTTGCCCTTGTGATTTGACTAAAGGTTTGATAGTTGGTTGGTTGGTTGGTTGGTTGGTTGGTTGTTTAAAGCCGCACTAAGCAATATTCCAGCTATATGGCGGCGGTCTATAAATAATCGCGTCTGGACCAGACAATCCAGTGATCAACATCATGAGCATCGGTCTACGCAAATGGGATACGATGACGTGCCAACCAAGCCATCGAGTCTGACCATGCGATCCCGTTCGTCGCCTCTTACGACAAGCGTGGGTTACTGAAGAAGAAAGGTTTGATTTTGACACTTTAGGTACAAGGTTGTTATCTATTCCAACAAAGTGTACCAACTAAGCATAATGTCAGTGAATACGTTGTTGACTTCCATTCTGGATCGGACGTAAATATACAACATCAAGCCAAAGAATCGATTAGTCGCCATTATTCGACGACACTGATTTTACTGTTTGTATGAATCACAGAAAATATCAATGACACCGGGCATTCGAAAATGGTAGAGCATGCCCTGCCCTACAGACAGTGTGCGAAATGGTAGAGCATGCCCTGCCCTACAGACAGTGTGCGAAATGGTAGAGCATGCCCTGCCCTACAGACAGTGTGCGAAATGGTAGAGCATGCCCTGCCCTACAGACAGTGTGCGAAATGGTAGAGCATGCCCTGCCCTACAGACAGTGTGCGAAATGGTAGAGCATGCCCTGCCCTACAGACAGTGTGCGAAATAGCCACTGGCGAGCTAGCCCGTGGCCAGTAAAAGTCCAGTCGGGACAGTAAATCGCCACAGTCAATTTTCATGGTGTCATTTTGTAAATATATCACTCTTTCCGAATGTTAGGTTATGATACACTTTTAAATCGTACATGATTATGGCCTGATTCATCATATTATCAGCTTAATGATGACATATTAACGTTATCTCAGCGTGAACAAACTATTTTAGAAATTCAGACATGTGTTATCTTATTTGTTTTTGATGGTATTTTATCTTTTTGATATCTCTTGTTTAGTTTCTGCATTCAAATTTCGGGCTCGTGAATTATTTTGTGGGCTTGTAACTTTCAAGCATAGCTAGCCCGACTGTCTAGCAAAATCTAGGAACTATTTCGGGCTCTGCCTATAGGTACAATAATGATTACATGTATATGGTTTGGTATGTGTATACAGTGTGTTGTAACTTGACAGGCATCGCAACAGGACACAGCCATACATTCGGATGGAAGGGGCGTAGAGAACAAGGACACCCCAAGCCCTCCTCCACACCAAGACAACCAGGTAAACAGAGTGAGTGAGTTTGGTTTTACGCCGCTTTTAGCAATATTCCAGCAATATCACGTCGGGGGACACCAGAAATGGTACCCATGTGGGGATTCGAACTCGGGTCTTTGGCGTGACGAGCGGAGGCTTTAACCACCAGACTACCCCACCGCCCCAGGTAAATAGACAAGGAGTAAATATGGAAATATGTAACGTCTACTGAATACTCTTATAAAGAATTTTCCTTAGATGTAGTGATTTTCATTGTATTATAAATGTCCACCGCAGAACGATGTGGGGAACAGCTCGCCATCCTTGTCATCTTTGGGGCGAGCACAGCGAGCTGGGGAAACATTGCACGCCATAGCAGCTGAGAAGGTATGTGTGTCCAGCAGTACAACACACCTAGTGAGTGAGTTTAGTTTTACGCCGCACTCAGCAATATTCCAGCTATATGGCGGCGTAAATCATCTGAACCAAACAATCCAGTGATCAACACCATGAGCATCGATCTACGCAACTGGGATACGATGACATAATAATGTCAACTAAGCCAGCGAGCCTGACCACCCAATCCCGTTCGTCGCCTCTTACGACCGGCATAGGTTACTGAAGATCAATTCTTACCCGGACGTTCACGGTTACAATACATTGAGACTGTACTGCTGCAAGACGATTGTTAATGTATATTTGCACATTGATAGCACGCTTCCCATAGCTCATTCCAACTGGACCGCTCGATCTTCTTTTAATTTAAGCTACAAGCCACATGCGTTTGCATAATTATTAAATATGGAAATATATGTCAGGGCATTTGTCTATTCGAAACAAGGTTATGGTCTTTGAATACTTTCCTTATTGCATGTCCATGACAGAGAGATCCAGGGAACAGTGAGCCTGTGCCTGTGTCGTCATTTGGAGGAGCACGAAGGACAGAGAGAATATCAGATACCAAAGATATGGACAAGGTATGTGCTCCTCGTTGTACTGTATAGTGATTGATTACGCCCATTATTTTGTGGCAGCAAGGGCACAAGACTACATTGCTTCTTAAATTTGAAATCGAAATTAGTTGAACCTTTCGGACCACATACCGATTATCATTTCGGACCACACAGTGTAGAGTTGTTCAAGATATTGTAGAGGTCCCTGTTCCTCAAAGTGAACTCCCATACTTTTAACATAGACTTTCGGACCACATACTGACCACATACTTTAACATAGACTTATCATTTCATTTTACACAGTGTAGAGTTGTTCAAGATATTGTAGACATTGTAGAGGTCCCTGTTCCTCAAAGTGATCGTAACTCCCATACTTTAACATAGACTTACGGACCACATACTGATTATCATTTACACAGTGTAGAGTTGTTCAAGATATTGTAGAGGTCCCTGTTCCTCAAAGTGATCGTAACTCCCATACTTTAACATAGACTTACGGACCACATACTGATTATCATTTACACAGTGTAGAGTTGTTCAAGATATTGTAGAGGTCCCTGTTCCTCAAAGTGATCGTAACTCCCATACTTTAACATAGACTTACGGACCACATACTGATTATCGTTTACACAGTGTAGAGTTGTTCAAGATATTTAGAGGTCCCTGTTCCTCAAAGTGATCGTAACTCCCATACTTTAACATAGACTTTACGGACCACATACTGATTATCATTTCACAGTGTAGAGTTGTTCAAGATATTGTAGAGGTCCCTGTTCCTCAAAGTGATCGTAACTCCCATACTTTAACATAGACTTACGGACCACATACTGATTATCATTTACACAGTGTAGAGTTGTTCAAGATATTGTAGAGGTCCCTGTTCCTCAAAGTGATCGTAACTCCCATACTTTAACATAGACTTACGGACCACATACTGATTATCATTTACACAGTGTAGAGTTGTTCAAGATATTGTAGAGGTCCCTGTTCCTCAAAGTGATCGTAACTCCCATACTTTAACATAGACTTACGGACCACATACTGATTATCGTTTACACAGTGTAGAGTTGTTCAAGATATTGTAGAGGTCCCTGTTCCTCAAAGTGATCGTAACTCCCATACTTTAACATAGACTTACGGACCACATACTGATTATCATTTACACAGTGTAGAGTTGTTCAAGATATTGTAGAGGTCCCTGTTCCTCAAAGTGATCGTAACTCCCATACTTTAACATAGACTTACGACAGTCGTAGCTTTACGATCGCTTTGTGAAATGGGCTCCTGTTCACTAAACATGAGGTTATATCGAATTGAAATGGGCCACTAACTTTCGTTAGTTATATAGATATATGCACTTCGAGTGAAATATACGGCAAGTGACAAGGAACCAAAAAACATTCGTTATATCTGCCAGTTCATTGAAAAACGTCCTTATTGTATTAATGTTTATTTCCCATCCTTGATTGGATGCAGATACAATATTGAACTGTTTATTTAGCATGGGTCCACAAGTAGTCTGGACGTCGGCGCGCGGAGGAGTGAGCGCAAGGCCACTGATGTGTTTGACAACGTCTACGAGTCCGAGGGTCTACCCATCCTTGGATCACGAGTCATGAGGGGTGTGGACTGGAAGTGGGATGACCAGGACATGGGGGGTCCTGGTACTATCACCAACCATGGAGCAGAAGGAAGTGAGAAAGTGAAATTTAAAGATACAAAGAATTTACAAAATGTTCCCTAGAAAGTAAACACAACTTATCCTTAGAAATTAGGACAATATTCCACCTCTTCCGCCAACTTCCCTATACAAAAAGGAGTTATTTATACGTTAATGTGTCTCCTCCTTTCCTAATATGCAGGCCACCATCAAGCGGGCATTACCATTAAGATCATTTTATCCTCTTCTGTGTGTTAAAGACATGAGTTTATCTTCCTGTACCTGAAGGCAGATGGAGAGTTGACTTACTCTTCTTTTGTAGAGTCCGTTTGGGTTGCCTGGGATCATGGCGAGTGTAACAGGTATAGGTATGGTCTTGGCGGATATTTTGACCTGAAGGTTGTAGACGACCAACCAAGATCCCCAAGAAGAGACGGCCGGATTCAGATCGGAATGCTTGTTGAAAGAGGTACAGTTTTAGCGTGTTTTTGTCCATGATACAATAACGGATTTCGACTGCATATATCGATCTCGATCTGGATTTTTGTATTAAATGGGGAGCTCACTGGTATTTATTCACTGAGAAACTATAGGTCTGACAAAAACGACAGACGTCTCCCACATCCGTATCCACATCCACATCCACATCCATCATAAATACATTCAAAGGCTAGTCAGTTGTTCATAAGAACAAGCAAGGGAATCGCATCGGACATTACTTTTGCTAAGGATTCGTCAAATTTGCACATGTCCTCCAAATGCCTACCAGAAAATATTTGAATGCTTTGCTGAGGCCTTAACCATGAATGAGAGGAACTTCTGACCAAGACTCGTATTACGCTCTTCGAAATATTGGTAAATGGAGCATGCTCCATTGTACCTCCAAATGCTGGAGCCGTAGGTCAGATGCTCGACATAACGGGGAAGTTAACTATTTGAAAGTTGAAGGGAACGATATCAGATTATCGATGTACCGGAAGTTTTAGTTATATTTCTTAATGTTTCTTGATCAATGGGGAAAGGTTTTCCTCAGGTTTGTCCCAAAGTGGCATAACTGAACTTTTCCTTTTCTGAATTTGAAAATAATTCAAGAATATCACGGTAGGTTTTGAGAATGTACATGGTGTTAATTCCACTTGAAAGTCCTCCCTTGATAGTATTGATGGCAAGAAATGATTGTTCCATGTTCGACTTTCGACCAGGCGCAGACTGGCAACAGACTGATGACGATGGCGGGCCTAGCTGCAGCGGGACTGTGATTAGACGACAGTCTGACACAGTGATGGTGAGATTTCCTGTATCACCAGCAATATCAACATTCTATAGCCTCTTAAGACAATCTATATATACTCAAAGGCAAATGTTATTGTCACACAACCAAGACACAGAATCAGTGTTAAACTTTTTCTGGCGCGAATGAAATGTTATTACATTGAAACAAATATTTCAAGGGTCAAGGTATGGTAACGATCCACAGTCCATAAGAACAGCTTACCTGGCATATGCACATGAGCCACAACACAAGAGGAGTTCAGACTGGCAGTAGAGAGTGTGTTCACCTTGTACATCGATATAGACCTGGCTCCTTCACCTCATTGAGGCCGTATAACGCAGAAGAGAGTCCAGGGTACAGTCATTCCATATTCGAGGAAGGGTTTGGGGGGAGTTCCTGCTGGGTTGTTTGAGGATTCGGATGACGTCGTAAACGTCGCTCCATTTCAAACCAGACGTGTTCATTGTCTTGACGTGGGGTCGCTACTGGTTGGCGGCCACTAAGGGGACGGGCTATTGTTTGGTGAAAACGTCGCCTTAAGTGCCATATGGTGTTTCTATGGATGTTGAGGTACCAGACCGAAGCGCACATATAGCTCTCCATCTGTCATTTTGTGTGGCATGTCAAACTTATTCCAGAACGATAAAAAGAGGTGCTGTTCAGACTTCTCCACTTCTTAAGACTGCACTGGGTGCAAATGATACGCGTCCGGTTGTCTGGCTAAAGTAAACATTGCTGTCCATTTGTCTCGAATATGTCATGCTTCTTAAAAAGTTCGTGCAATTGGAACAACTGCTTGCATGCTTTTTCTTCGGTCATTCAACTACACACGTTCTCTGTTGCAAATCCAAAAATTAATTCACATGATTGCCAAAGAAAACATACGATGTCATAATAACTTTTGCCTCTGGGTATATTTGAGTAGATGTGTGAAATAATTCTTGCAAAGCGCCAGTCTTTCTTCTCATTTATTCTTGTTACACCAAACAGCAATATTATGGTGGTAAATAATCGAATCTCGATCTGACAGACCAGTGGATGACATTAAAGGCACTAATGGGTTCTGTTACAAAGGCATGCGCTGATCCACGTCAGTGAGCTGATCCATCTCGTAGCCATCTCGTGTCACAAGCATGGGTGGCTGGAAACCAAATATACAATGATAAGCCTACTTGGCCTTTCTTTAACATGAAGTACTGTAAACGTACTTATTTTCGCGTGGTGCAATTTTCGCGGAATTGACAGTTTAGACTACATCGCGCGGTCAATTATTCGCGCAATCAGTAATTGCCGGAACTGCCAGCTGTCTCTTTGGCCGCCACTAATAGCAGTGAAAACAAACAGAGTGGCTTAACCTGTCAGGCGGCGTTTATTGCTTACTCACCGGAAATCCCTATCTGTGCGATATACTAGTACACAGTAATCCGTTTACTCACGGAAGAGATGAAAAACACATCAGTCTTATGTTCCGAATTCTGACGATCTGACGAATTAACTTCTACTGTATATGAAGCTCTTTGTGATTTCAAACAAGCCGGGTTGTTGTGAATGAGATGATTGAGTGTTAAGTGACTATTCGCTTCATGACTGGTAAATAAAATCTTAATGAATAAATAAAATACTGCTGTATTATTTCTTTCCGAGTCGTTTCATGGTAATCTGTTTTGTATCAAACCATCTGTCATGTGACTAATTTCCATGGCGGCCACAATACACATTGCTGTTTTCGCTAATTCGGCGATGGGATTTGGCTCATTATTTAATTATGTTTTGGGAAATCCATTATAGCGACAGTTAAGTATGATTCTTTATGCTACTATCAGTCGTCATTTTAAGATTCCCGTAGATTTCTGTCTTCAAACTTGATGTGTTATGGTAACAACTCAGGGGCGAGTGTGGCTAGTCTGAATGAATGACAGGTTTATTCGCGGTGTATAAATTTCGCGCTAAAATGTTTTGCGCGAAAAGCGCGAAAATAAAAAACCTGCGCGAAATATAATACGTTTACAGTAAATACTATCGTTTTTACTGTTGCACAAGGTAAAACGTTTGTCTCTCTGTGTTCAGGTGAAATGGAAAACTGGAAACATTGGTGTATATAGATATGGAGAAGGTGGCAAGTTTGATGTTTGTGTTCGGTGAGTAGTATTTCTGGTTAAATATCCACAAACGAACAGTCATATTTTCCAGATTGCACTGATTTGTGTCAGTCTACATTCCTACACTTGTCATTTGATTTGGCAGAGATCCTGTTTCTTGTTTGATGGAACGAACAACAAACCAAAAGAGGGTCCAGCATGACAAACAACGCACTGCACCAACAGGTTTGTGAAAACGTTCACATTTTTCATAGATGTTTAAAGAGTTATCCCACGTTGTACAGTGTGAAACTCATCTCAAGATACGGTCACAGGTTAATCATACTTCCGGGTCACAGGTTAATCATACTTCCGGGTCACAGGAAAAATCGGAGGAGGTAACTGTGATACATGGACTTGCAGAATGCCCGGATAACAAGGTTTTCATACTACTGACGTTACGTAAAATGTTGAGAATAATACATTTGCGTGTACAAATGTGAATCACATGGTAACTTTAGTATTCAATGCAGACGGAGTACCGAAGCATAAAAAGCCAAGTGACAGACACAAGGAAAACAGTGTCTGGCAATGGCTAGATGGAGATGGTGTTTGGACGACGTATTCAGATGAAAACAATCTCCTACTCAGTCGAGCATATGAAAATCAAAAGAGTGGACACTGCAGTATTGAAAAGGATGGTAAAAGGTAGGTAGTTACGCTTAAATCATTTATTGTTTATATGAGCTAGGTTTCCAGTTTATTGCCTTCAGTTATCATCATTGTTTTTGTTCAGTCTAATAACCTTTTCTCCTCTTGCTTCTAATATCACAAGATGCCAATATTGTGCTGACGCACTATGATTGATTATACATGTATATCGATTACACACCATAACCACTATTTTGGATAATGTGGTTTTCAATCTATGTACTTTTGATTGTTTAACACTTACTAATGATTATCTTTCATCTGGACCTGATAAGTATAGCATCGCGGTGAGCCTATGTCTGTTTGTTTCAGATTCCTGGTATTATTCCAGAACTTTGTGGAGAAATCACTGACAGACAGATGCACAAGGAAGGTGCGAAAATGTCCAATTGGTAAGAGATGACAGTCATCTAATTGTACATCGAGGAAGTGATATAATTATTGAAAATAGATATTAGTTAATGAGTTCCATCTAAGTGTGTAATGGACACTTATTGGTTTAGTAGTCATTTAGATTAGCATTTTCATAAATCTGACCGAGACAGCACAACAATGTTGAAATGATTGTTTTTGTTAGATTTGAAAATTGTGATGATTATGAAATATCAACTTTAAAACAATATAAAAAAGGGTGTTTCAACGTTGAATTGACTTTCAGTTTTGATTGAATTTGAAAGTTGAAATGCCGATGCTGTATCAAATCAGTATCGACGTCAATGTCGAGTTTTTGTTGAGTGTCGGTTGAATATTGCTTGCTTGCGCAATTGCAGTATGTAAGTTTAAACGGACACCTAAGTATATCCTGAAATATGGAATCGTATAGTGACGCAATCTAAACATTATCCCACCTGTGTAGCTGATTTGCGTAACTAATGTCACTTCTAACGCAAGGCTTTAAAATGGTACCCGCATCAACGCAAAGGTTGCATTATCTCCCTTGAATCGCCACAGACCTCTCTCGGAGGGTCAAATTAACTGAAAAGAGGAAGAAACATTGTTAACGCCAAGATTACATTATCTCCCTTGAATCACCACAGACTTCTCTCGTTCGAATTAACTGAAGAGAGGAAGATACATAACTATGATGATGAATTAACTGAGATTAAACAATACAATTACTACAGACATTCAAGGTGGCAAATACATCTAGTCAACCCAACAACAGATGTCCAGCTCGACAACCAGGCCCTAACTATAGCCTGATGTGTATGTAAACAAAATACACTATCTAGTTATGTTCAATGTAAACGATGGAGGTATCCCTAAACAATACATAATGTATCTTACCGCTACTCCTGCTCGATCCTCCTTTTCGCCACTCACATCGTACTGCAGGTGGCTTCCTTTATTAAAGGAGAATAGCGCTCACACAGAACACATGTGTTTATTTGGCATGCCTCGGGGGTTCTATGGTAGATTTACCCGAGGTCACAATGCACAAATACGAACCGGGAATGTTCAGGTTGAGAAGTAGGCCTGGCTGTGTCAGTAAATACATATCTTGTATTTGATGTCAATATTAAATTCTGTTATTGCAAAAATCTATTTCACATATATATTTTAATCCTTATCGTTAAACCATATATATACTCCCGTCCAACAGAATCTTGATACATGACAAAGTACTGACTGTGTGCAGAATTTCAGTCCCATGTCACTAAAACCTATTGTAAAATGAACAGAAATTTATTGAGAAGCACATCACGAAATTTAATCAAGATTTATTGAACATTAAATGATGTATTGAAGTGCTATTTACAGAAGGGGTGAAATCTGACATTTAAATAGCCAAAAGATAAAGACTTTACACTTTCATAGACATTCAGAGTGGTCAAAAAGCTTTGTCAATAACGGATGTGTCCTCCTTGGGCCTGGATGCATGCAAACACATATCTGCGCATTAATGACGTCAGCCGTCTGATGACGTTGTTGGGTATTTTCTGCCACTCCTCCCTCAGCGCTTGGATCAACTGCCGACGTGGTTGTGGAGGTGGTTATTCTTGTCTGATACGGCGATCGAGGTGGTCCCAGAGGTTATCGATCGGTGACATATCAGGAGGCCTTGGGGGCCAGGGTAGAACGTGAAGTTGTTGCGATTAAGAACGTCCTGTACAACTCAAGCAACATGTGGCCAGGCGTTGTCATGATGGAAGAGAGTCCCTCACTGCTGTTGCTGCAGGAACGGGAGAACTACCGGCCTCAAAACGTGGTTGATGTAGCGTTGACAAGTCAGTGCCTCGTCAAAGACAACACGTCTAGTGGTCCGGTCTCGAAAAATTAATCCCCAGATCATTACACCCCCTCCGCCGAAAGGCTCCGTCTCCTGAATGCAACAAGGAGCCATTCGTTCGCCCAGTCTCCGGTAAACTCGTGTCCTTCCGTCATTATTGAACAGAGAAAACCTGCTCTCCTCCGGAACGAGTACCCTTTGCCAGTCACGTCTCTGCCAGCGTCGTACGTGACGTGCCCTGTACTGTAATCTCTGCTGGCGATTGATCTGTCTAGTAGTGTGGTAGGGCAACCGAAGGTTCTCGCAACGTGACCACGAGAAGCCCCAATTTTGATGGTACCGATGGCTCGTTCACGCTGTTCTGCTGTCAGTGTCGGCATTCTTGCTGTGGTTTTCCAATGACACTGATGACAGAGGGTTATTTGGGGGCATTTTATACCAAAAATTGCACGTGCGGTTCGTACAGCTGCGAGAAAACCGATTTTACAAGAACCGTGTCTGTGAACCATGCTTTGGAACTGTTGCGTTTCCCCTATATAATTTCTAGTCTCTATGATCACGGGAAAACTCGGAACATAGTTTTTTGCAATGTTTAAAAAGTCACAGTTTCTTTAGAGCGAAAATAATAGGGTCCTGTTTCTTTTGGACGTGAGTATATATGAATATTTAAAATCAGTAAAATTTATTTTTGAAAGTATCGCTGAATGTTATGTTTTATGGATTTTTTTTTTTTTATTCAGTTGTAGTATTGAAATAGTATCAGCTTTAGACACCCATAGACCAGTGTTGAGACATTATTGAAACACGTTTCTTATTTATCATATTTCCAGTATCAATAAACCGGTGTTGAATAAATATTGAAAACAATGGCTTATTTTATCAAAGTTGATGTGTCCATGTTGAAAATACTGTCAACTTTCGAAATGTTGTCAAATATTGAAAGGCCACTGTTGACCCAATGTCAAAGTTCTACATATTTTCAATACCTGAAAGGCCAATAATGAATCAGTGTTGAAAACAATTTCACAGTTCAACACATCATCAAACATGGTATATCAACCACATTTCCACATTGAAACAATGTCTGATGCCTGCTGAGAAACCATATCAGATTATGTGTCACAATTACAGCAATATAAGAAATCTCAAATTGTTATCATACATTTTACAAGTTAATTTAATTTTAAACTTTGTAACGCACAATGTGATTGATATAATATCAAGTCTGTACCAGACCGCCAAACCTTTCTAGCGGCAGAGACTCTTTTTGAGATTTCCAGACAGAGAACGCTGCACGACATGTTTGCAAGGATCAGAAGGAGCGTAGTGTTGCAATATACAAGTTCTTAGATGTATCAAATAATACTGATTATTATATATGTATCCATTTGAATGAATTGGTCTCAAAATTCTGGACTGGTTATTGTACTAAGTTGCGTAATAGGACGGAACCTTGTCAGCAGGAAACGAGACTGTTGTGTAATCAATGTTTTGACGCGTGTGTGTGTGTGTGTGTGTGTGTGTGTGTGTGTGTGTGTGTGTGTGTGTGTGTGTGTGTTCAATCACAGTAGTAACAAAGCTGTTATCTTGCATTGCAGATTAAAGAGAGAAGCTGCACATTGAAGGCGGGTGACAGGTGTTGTTCTCTAGTCGACGTCACAGTCCCTGTTGAGTTACCCTATACGCATATTGGATTACCGTTCCACGTGACGAGGACATTGTATAGCGCTGCTTATACGAATCAAACATTCATTTTCCTTGATATACGATGTTCTTTTTTAAATACCGCTGAACGATGTGTGAGATGCGTTCCTTTCCCCTCGACAGTGATGAACATTACACTCCAACTTGAATGTCGAAGGATACTATCTCTCTTTCATATACGTATAATTGTTGATCTAATTTTACCTGTAGTATAATTTGCTTTCTGAGTATATCTGAATCGACTGGCTAATGTGAATCGTATTCAAGACGGTACAGGACGTCTGCTGCTGACTCTATCCAAAAGAACATTTTTCTCTGTAAACGCCTAGGTTTTTATGCCAGTGTTCCCTTAAGTCTTGTAAATATTCTGAACAAATCAGCTAACTCTCAGGATACTTGTTTGTTGCATAGAGCGCCGTTTCGATGTCAATTCTTTCACTGTTATCAAGCTTATAGGTAACTGCTAGGAACTTGAAGCAAGTGATGAGAAGTATACAAATACTTTATTAGTATGTTATGACAAGCAGCTGATGAACAACAACAGATAATTGATAACTTCTAGAACGAATATTCTTATTATTGTTTTTAATGTGTACACTGGAATCTGCTGGCTGATCATGCGTGTTTTAGAACATGTTGTTACTTGATACGATGCAAACATTTTTATTAAATACAAGTAAATAAATCCTATGTGTGAGGTCCATCGTTTTAGCTACATTAAAAGCTGCCCCCAGCAAACGGAACCTGTCCTGGTGGGATAGAATAACAGATGAACAGCGCTGACCTTCCTTCCTCGCAGTGCTAGCTGTATCCGTAACGCGTTGTAACACACATGTTATATATATACTGATCCAAACATTTCACCCTTTGATGAAACTAACAGCGTATAGGAAATATTGTACTGTGTAGAACTCATTTGATGTTGATTTCTATTGAATCCGACCTGGAATTATCGAAGAGACACACAGAAACAACCAAGATGACATCTATTAATATACTGACTTTCCTTCTTAATTTTTTGTCAGTTTAAATATAGATCATTTCACTTAAAAGTCCTTTCTCACGACAGGCCCTCGTGTCTTTGCGAGGATTAAGATTTTATAAAAAATATAAAAAAATTGAGATGACCCCCGACTCGAAATGCTTCACAGTATAATACATTATGTCCTAATGTATTGTACTGTGAAGCATTTGGAGTCGGGGGTCATCTCAAAAACAATATTTTTTTAAGAATCAATCCTCGCAAAGACACGAGGGCCTGTGTTCTCACGGTACGGCTTGTAGTAACTACTTGTAGAATCGACACGAGTTGCAATGTTAGAACACCATAGTCGTATCAACTTTGACAAGTTCTCAACCATTTGAAAGCGAGATGAGAGAAATAGAAACTTCCCTATTTCGTAAGACGGATCGTTTGTATTTGACCAATCAGAAACGTCGAAACAGAAAGGCAAGAGTTCAATCCCTTTGTCTTGAATTATTTCCAACAAAAAAAGGAAATAATTCGAATCCATTCTCAGAACATTCCTAAGAGTGAGAGGGTCTTCATCTTCCATTTGACTTTTTCCTTTAAATTTTCTTTTTATTTAACACACGTTTGGCAATTACTGCCAGTATATAGATCCTACATGTAGATACTACAGGTTGTTACTGCAAGACGCACCGGGAGAACGGACCTTAACCCCTATTCGGCCATCTGATAAAACTCTTGAAAGTATTGGTTGTACATTGGAATAGAATACATTAATTTGTCAAAGCAATTAATTTGTTGTTGATATTGTAATGATATTCTATAGATGTATTTGCAGGAGACCGTAGACCTTAGGATACAATTGTGTTGTCATAAAGAAAGACATATGACGTCAACTTACTTCCTTAAAAATCGCCGTGTGTGTGGATTGTAAAATAGTATCTTATTCTCTCGCTGACTCCTAACACTGGACGGCCTCCGTGGTGTAGTGATTGGAGCTTCCGCCTGGAGAGCGGACGGTCGCGGGTTCGATCCCCGACCGCGTCAAAAGACGTCCAAGACGTTAAAATACGGTACTTGTTGGTCCCTGCCTTCATGGGTACAACCACGACTGGTCGGCTCGGAGTCAGTATAATGTGTCTGAGTGGGGTATTCATGCTTCACTGCGGCATGCTAGCTCAGTGGGCTAGCACTATAAAACCAGCTTCAGTCTGGGCTAGTACAAGCAGCCGCACATACACATACACACGCATGCACGTCGTCATATGAGCAAAATAGCAAAATATTCTCAAGCACGACGATAAACCCACTTTCACTTCACCTCGCCTAACACCGTGTTCTAAAATAATTATTTCAAAACATTTTATCATATAAAGTATATGTTCAATCAATCCAAAATTACATCTAAAATATTCTTATTACATAAACACTCTAAATAGGAAGTTGTACCCATTTTTTAAGCAATGCATCTCTATAAAACATGACTTTAAACCAGTGAATCGCATTCATGTATTCCTGTTTTACCATTCAATTTTATGATATAATGAGAAATCAAAATGAGATTTTTAACCCATAAAATCCCTTATGTCATGGTTGGTTACGTGTTATGACATGATGGTTAAGTCTCTATTCGCCTACATCTTAATTCGCTTTCAACCAATATCGCATACAAAAACAATGTAGGCTAACTGGGATTAGAAAATGCACCCATATACTCTCACAATGAGCCTGACTCACTGGTCAGGGCCATACTAATCTTGATCGACTGTTGTTATGAGGACATGTAGTTGAGTAGAGATAGTGCATCCACTTAGAAGTTACAACTGGGTTATAATAAAATGAAAGGGATTAATGCATACCCTTAATTGTAAAGACAATGATGAGATATAGTTAATTTCTCACTGTAAAATACTAAGTTCTCTGCTACTAATAGGCTATAAACCAACTTAACCTTATAAAATGATGTGTTCACCAAGTACTGATAGTCACAATGGCTAACCTGCAGAGGACAGAGTTCATTTTGGACATCCCCCCAAAAGAACTTTTATTAATGTGATATATGATAAATAAATGATCAATTCATTGTGATCAGAAAATGATATGATGTGATTGTGTGATGTGATATATGATAAATTAATTATCATTTCATCGTGATCAGAAAATGATATGATGTGATTGTGTGAGGTGATATATGATAAATAAATTATCATTTCATTGTGATCAGAAAATTACAAGTAAATCTTTTTGTCCTTCAACTACTTCAACTAGAAGAGTCCACTTTTAGATCATAGAGGTGACACTAGTTTACCATTGCGTAATCAACTGTCAACAGACCATGAAATGTTATTTTAAGCATGGAGGCGATTTAGGCGAATAGAGAACAACCCGACATGATATTATCTATGGCACAAATATTAAGCGGAGTGGAAGCAGAGACAGTTCTATGGATATTCAACTTCTATATTACTATAATCGCTTGCTTGATAACTGTATTAGCATCTACACCTAACGTGACAAGATGGTAATAAAAAAGAATAAAACCGCCCCCCTTGAGACGATCCCCCCCGATATTAAAGGTAGAAATATTGTTTTCAACCCTGATAAACTAGATTTTACGGGCAATACGATTTCCAATACAACCACGCCATTACATATTAATCACAATCATAAGTGTAAGGCTGAAACAGTTCTAGTTAGATATACAAAGAAGTAATGAAATCAATTACAAAGAAATAAAGACATATATCCTGACAATACAGGTACGATAGTTCAGATCACAATTCTTGTTCACGTGACTGTAAAAGCAAACATGGTGATACAGTCAAATCCCGATGAGTCGAATCGCTGGGGACCAAGTAAAAAGATTCGGCTTATCGATGTATTCGAGACATAGGTATGTCTATGAGGGTAGAAAAAAAAAGATGATTCAATATTGAACAATTCCTTTATTCAGCACATCATAGATAATGGATAATAATGGATAATGGAAACAAACATTATACAAATGAGAACACATTTCAATACTAGTTTTTATTACTAGCACAATAAAATACAAAATACATTTACCTCTTAAAATCCATGAACAAAATCTATCGGCAATCGATAGATATACTTGTACATGCCGCCATCTTGAATCTTATTAATACAAAAAAGATGAACTCACTTCTGGAAAAAGTCTGACATTAATGTTTGTTTCTGTGAATTTCCCTTACATTTATCCACAAATTCACGGACGCTTGCCAAGTGGGAAAAATGTTCGTTGTTTGTACCTGGAACCGACTCGAGAAATTCCTCCAGTCCTTCACAGAACTTTATCGCTTCCGATATTGCAATGCAGACCAGTTTAAGTCACCAGGTCCAGGACTTTCATACTAAAGGACTAAGTCAGCTTCTAGGTAGAGGAGGTGGAGTAGCCTGGAGGTTAAAGCGTTTGCTCGTCACGCCGAAGACCCGGGTTTTGTTCCCCACATGAGTGCAATGTGTAAAGCCCATTTATGGTGTCATCCGCTGTAATATTGCTGGAAAATCCTAAACGTGGCGTAAACCTAAACCAGACAAGAATGAAGCGTTATACACACTTCAGTTAGCCATGACGAAATTTCTTTTTCGGTTTGGTTTTGTAGCTGTGTCTTCGTGTTGCTTCTCTTGCATTTCTTTCTCCATCTCTGACTTAATTTTTTCAATAATTTCTTTTTGTCGTTTTATACCACTTCAAAGTAGGGTTTGGGTATTTGTGATGTTTTTGGTAACTTGAAGCATCGGGTGTTGCAATCAAACATTATATCTTTACGTTTTTCAATGCATGTGTCTGTGAATCTCTGGTAATCAGCAAGGGTAGCTTCTTTCTTCGCCTGCTTCATTGGCCAGCTTCCGTTTCTCATTCCATTCATCAAGAATGTACGTGCTTCCTAGTTTGTAGGCGCTCGATGTTGTCATAATGAAAGCTATGATTGTCTTGGCTACAGCTGTGTAACGACCAGTACCTAGAGGAATGTAACGTGATAGCTGAGCTGCAGCCAATCATGTAGGAACACTGGATAGTATCGTCCTATAGGTGTAATAATTGTCATAGCTTCTCGACTGTTCGTAGAATATGTTCGCTGAAATCATGATACGAATCTGCAGATCTTTTAAGATTCTGACGCAGCACTCGGTTTCTTCTGCATCAGCTTGAGATAGACTCCTTGAGCTAAACCTGTTGGGAAGCAAAACCGCCAACTAATGATATATGCTGAATGCATTGTGTTTCGGTCACACACTTCTGCTTCGTGTGCTCCAATAACAATTACGTTATGTTGTTAAAGTACTGTCGGAAATAGAAATAAACTGTATTTTCTCATTTATCTCTACAATTTATGTAATTGATATGTGAAAGTGTGAAATATCTGTTATACTAAGTTCGGCCTAACTACAGTCTCAGTGGTAGAGAGATAGGAAACGGAGAAAAGGGACTTTACTGAGGGGAAATTAGTGCAGAAATGAGCAATGCGGTTTTTTCTAAGTCCAAAGCGATTTATTTGGAACAGACCATGGCTTTATGCAAATTAGTGAGCGACGATATTGTATTACAAAGGACACTTTTTAAATGCCCAATTTGAATTAGACGTAGCTTCATTATAAACGATAGCTGGGGTAAAAAATAATAACTTTTATGCCGAAACTATTAAGGATGTAGCTACCATGCAGTCTCACTGTCACTATAAAAAGAAACAGATAGGAGGGGTCGCCTCAAAAGCAAAACCTGGGGTCGGCTTTGGGGATAGAGATATCAGCTAAGATAAGATAATCCTTTAGGGCAATTATACTGGGGAGGTACAAGGCACGTCATAACAATTTACAAATAATAGCCAGTCCTGTCGATCTTCGGGTGGTCATGCCACCTATATACTACGATGCGTTTCTACGGTTTTCGGGTATCATACTCTTTTACATATCTCAACATAAACTTTATGAAAGAAAGACAAGTAAGATGTTAACCAATAGATGAGACATAGTCAACACACATGAAAAAGCTCAAAATATCTTTGAGATGACCCCTTGTGCCTGTAGGCAGCACGTGCATTTCATGCCAGGTGATTCGACGGTCCGTCGAAATACCTGGCTGAGCCACCTAATTGCCATCTATAGTCTGATCTATTGTGTTCAGCAGCTATTCGTAGTTTTTTCTAAGTTTTGCCCGATTTTACGAGTAAACATGCTTTTCTGGATATCGTATTACACATCCCACTGAACGCCCAGTTAGGCCGAAGTGGGTTATTTCGACATATGCTATTTGCAATTGTGTAAATTTTAGGGATACAGAGTAACAGCCTAAAAACAGTTTTTTTTCTATTTCCGACAGTACTTTAGAAAGCAATATTCTTTTTTAAAGAAAATCGTGTTAGCGTTAATGTTTGGGCATGGATGTGCATACATAATAATTGTGTTACCGTTATAAATGTTATCAAATCATCACAAAGTTTAGTAATGAACTGTTTGAGAGGTATTCATGCTTGAAAACGCTGTAATTATCTATACCGAACCGTTGCTATTGTACAACAAAAAGAAGTTCATCCATAAAGACTTGTCATTCCTAAAAGTTTAGTCACATATATCTTTGTCTGTCGGATATATTACAGTAAAACGACTTAACTCTTCATTCAGACAGGGTACAAAACACCTAACTATTTCAGTCATTTACATTTTGTTAGAGTTTAGGGCGAGGTTCATCACCCAGTGACTGAGAAAATAAGAGGATGAAATGAAGGCGAATGTCAGCGTGTGTGTTTACATTTTGGTTCCTACCTCTAGCATAACTAGTGTATTTTATGTTTTACGCCATTTTGAGCTTCTCCTTTTTAGTCGGTCTGTCAAATAATGTGATGTGTAGTGACCTGGCTTTTCAAATTGAATTCCATTCTTTGCCGATCTGAAGAGGTGAGAGCTTTGTGAGAACGGCTTCAGAAACATGCTCTAAGGTACTGATATGCTGGATTAAAGTGGATCATATCCTACATCGTAATGACATACACACGTACATGGCAAGATCATTCCATCAAATATCTATGAAGCAGGGTGTATTCATCTTCATGTCGCCCTGCACGTGTTTATGACTGCATGGGAGAAATGCGACAAAATGTTCAAACTCGCCTTGATCCCATATTTGCAGATTTGGACTGTCAAGGTACTCCCCTCGCGCGTTCAGCTTGGTTTAGCGTACCACCGAAAGCACGTTAAATCGAAAATACCTTTGCCACACTCAGCACCTAGTAGGACATGTTTGAACATGTATGCAATATGAGATCAGTAGTGTGCAACGCAATCGAAAATGCACGAGAACAATTATCAACTGGTCGTTGTGACATGTGTGCAGATTGCGATATTGTGTTGCATAACGCTGCTGCAGGAAGTACATTGACGTATCCGCGTACGTCCGTTCTATATTTAGATCCATGTCATACAAAATGGGGTCATTTGATTTCTTTCAAAACGAAAGTGGGTGCAGTGGTTGTTGATGGTCACAAACAGGTTTGTAACTTTTGACGAACTTGCAGCACGTACGTATGGAAACATGTCTGTTGTAGTGTGTCGTACCTAGAACTCTGTTACTGTTGTAAATACATGAAAACATGGCCCTTGTAGTGTGTCGTACCTAGAGCTCTCTTACTGTTGTAAATACATGAAAACATGGCCCTTGTAGTGTGTCGTACCTAGAACTCTGTTACTGTTGTAAATACATGAAAACATGGCCCTTGTAGTGTGTCGTACCTAGAGCTCTCTTACTGTTGTAAATACATGAAAACATGGCCCTTGTAGTGTGTCGTACCTAGAACTCTGTTACTGTTGTAAATACATGAAAACATGGCCCTTGTAGTGTGTCGTACCTAGAGCTCTGTTACTGTTGTAAATACACGAAAACATGGCCCTTGTAGTGTGTCGTACCTAGAGCTCTCTTACTGTTGTAAATACATGAAAACATGGCCCTTGTAGTGTGTCGTACCTAGAGCTCTCTTACTGTTGTAAATACATGAAAACATGGCCCTTGTAGTGTGTCGTACCTAGAGCTCTGTTACTGTTGTAAATACATGAAAACATGTCTGTTGTAGTGTGTCGTACCTAGAACTCTCTTACTGTTGTAAATACATGAAAACATGTCTGTTGTAGTGTGTCGTACCTAGAGCTCTCTTACTGTTGTAAATACATGAAAACATGGCCCTTGTAGTGTGTCGTACCTAGAGCTCTCTTACTGTTGTAAATACATGAAAACATGGCCCTTGTAGTGTGTCGTACCTAGAGCTCTCTTACTGTTGTGAAAACATGGCCCTTGTATACCTAGAGCTCTGTTACTGTTGTAAATACATGAAAACATGGCCCTTGTAGTGTGTCGTACCTAGAGCTCTCTTACTGTTGTAAATACATGAAAACATGGCCCTTGTAGTGTGTCGTACCTAGAACTCTGTTACTGTTGTAAATACATGAAAACATGGCCCTTGTAGTGTGTCGTACCTACAGCTCTGTTACTGTTGTAAATACATGAAAACATGTCTGTTGTAGTGTGTCGTACCTAGAGCTCTGTTACTGTTGTAAATACATGAAAACATGTCTGTTGTAGTGTGTCGTACCTAGAGCTCTGTTACTGTTGTAAAACATACAGTGTGTGAAGAGCTCTGTTACATGGCCCTTGTAGTGTGTCGTACCTAGAACTCTGTTACTGTTGTAAATACATGAAAACATGGCCCTTGTAGTGTGTCGTACCTAGAGCTCTGTTACTGTTGTAAATACACGAAAACATGGCCCTTGTAGTGTGTCGTACCTAGAACTCTCTTACTGTTGTAAATACATGAAAACATGTCTGTTGTAGTGTGTCGTACCTAGAGCTCTCTTACTGTTGTAAATACATGAAAACATGGCCCTTGTAGTGTGTCGTACCTAGAACTCTCTTACTGTTGTAAATACATGAAAACATGTCTGTTGTAGTGTGTCGTACCTAGAGCTCTGTTACTGTTGTAAATACATGAAAACATGGCCCTTGTAGTGTGTCGTACCTAGAGCTCTCTTACTGTTGTAAATACATGAAAACATGGCCCTTGTAGTGTGTCGTACCTAGAACTCTGTTACTGTTGTAAATGCATGAAAACATGGCCCTTGTAGTGTGTCGTACCTACAGCTCTGTTACTGTTGTAAATACATGAAAACATGTCTGTTGTAGTGTGTCGTACCTAGAACTCTGTTACTGTTGTAAATACATGAAAACATGGCCCTTGTAGTGTGTCGTACCTAGAGCTCTGTTACTGTTGTAAATACATGAAAACATGTCTGTTGTAGTGTGTCGTACCTAGAGCTCTGTTACTGTTGTAAATACATGAAAACATGTCTGTTGTAGTGTGTCGTACCTAGAGCTCTGTTACTGTTGTAAATACATGAAAACATGGCCCTTGCTCCGTTACTGTTGACTTCACCGTGCCCAGTTAAAATTTGACATGGCTTTAAGGTCACATGCAACCAAAAAATCAAACATAATTAAAACACAATTATCACTTATTCATGACATATAATATACATTGCTGGTTATGAAAAAAGATATAAACAAAATTATAAGCGTACAATCGCAAATCAAAGGTGCAATATTGTGTACTTGGGTTTACTTCCCAAGAAACGAAGCAGCCGAGATACCGAACCCAGTCAGAGCGGGTGGGTGTGCACTCAAGTGTAACGGCTGGTTCATTTGCAGATTCCCTCACGGCTCATTGTGTGTGTATATATAGAGATGTTGGGTTTTGTAAATACATGCTCATTTTTTGTGTATAACATTTTACAATCAACAGACATCATAACATGTCACGTGTTCAACTATCACACCTGCCTGTCTGTGTAATTACATAATGTGACAGAGACCGAACTCGGGCCATAAATCAATGCATTTTGTTTATGGTGTATAGCCTGATAGGTGTTAAGTTCAAATTGCATGTGGTCAGTGATAGCAGCTGTGTATTGAATATTGTCATTAGCAGACAGGCAGGCAGACATACAGGTGTCAATAAAACAAGGCATTGAGTTAAGTCTGTGACAAAGACATATCTATATCACAGTTAGAAATTCTGTCGCTAACGCTAAATAATGACATTGCTTTTAAGTATCGAACTGAGAAAGTGACTCGGTAAGAAGAACGTGTGGTGAAATAGACAAAAGAAGTTATATAAACAGTTAATTTACTGTCATAACATATAAATAGCTCGCGCCTGTGAGATATCAACAAAACATTAGAAAAATAGCTCACACCAAAGCCTTCACCTAGTATTCACCGGACAACCCGCTTCCAAGTTGCACGAACCTATTTCACTGCGCGCGTGCTATGAGCGCAGCCCAGCTGTTGAAACCAGTTTTCCCCCGAAAAGTCGGGGGGAAAATTAGTGAAACGTTTGAACTCCGATTTCGCGCGGTTTTTTTCATCGCGTTATTTTTTAACTTTATAAGTTGAATTTGCATTTTTGACGATTTGTTTCGGTAAGTCCATACCGAAAGGTATCAGAATCTGCAGAGTTGTGTTTTACGTTGCATGTGACCTTTAAAGAGATGTTCAGTGTCTTAGACATGAATAAATGCTATTATATAGTTACATGTCTTTTCTTGTTGATTATGTTTACAATATGTTGATCGTGTGTGTCAATTCATCAACGATTAACCCGCATGTCAGTATAGTTCCCTTAGGTATTGTCAATAGTACTTCTTGAACTAGCATCACTGTGCGTCAGTTTTCTATGCCAAATACATAATGGGCGTTGTGTGCCAAATGCTTTTACCCTTTATCACTCCGTTGACCCGGCGTTTAACCGTGAGCATCAGTGACTGTGGCAAAGACGTAGGGAAAGACGTGTGTATATTTATATAGACAGATTGTCTTGGGTAAAAATATATTTAATGCAAAATCCAATTACACGTCATATCAACAAATGGCGGTGAATCCCGATAAAGATGATGTGAATCATGTGGTAACATGCATTGAAATGATTAACGTCAGCCCATATGATAATTGTAGTAGCAGCACTAGTAAAAACAACAACAGCAGCAGCAGTAGTAGTAGTAGTAGTAGTCGCAGTTTTAGTACTTTTGGTTTAGTTGTTGTTTAACGCTGGACTCAGCAATATTCCGTCTATGTGCTGGCGGTCTGTAAACAATCGAACTGAACCAGACAATCCAGTGATCAACTGCATGATCATCGATCAACAGTTGTAATAGTAGTGGTAGTAGTAGATATAGTAGTAGTAATGATAATAGTCGCAGTTGTAGTAGAAAAAGTAGTAGCGGCAGTAGTTGTAGTAGCAGCAGCAGGAGGAGGAGGATTGGAGAAGTAGTAGCAGTCGCAGTTTTAGTACTTTTGGTTTAGTTGTTGTTTAACGCTGGACTCAGCAATATTCCGTCTATTTGGTGGCGGTCTGTAAACAATCGAACTGAACCAGACAATCCAGTGATCAACTGCATGATCATCGATCTACAGTTGTAATAGTAGTGGAAGTAGTAGATATAGTAGTAGTAATGATAATAGTCGCAGTTGTAGTAGAAAAAGTAGCAGCGGCAGTAGTTGTAGTAGCAGCAGCAGGAGGAGGAGGAGTTGTAGAAGTAGTAGCAGTCGTAGTGGTTATAGTAGAAGTATCAGAAGCACATGTTTGACCTTTTCAAAAGAAACTGTCTGCAGTTTGTTATTTATCCAGATGCATGTATTTCAATAGCCGCTTGAAACAAACACCAGTCGTGACAACAAGAGTGGCGAGGATTGAATGACCACACCATGGACAGGTTGCTTCAAGAGAGAGAGACTTCCAGAAAGAGGACAAATACATGGGATGGTACCAAGACTTTAGTATTTCGTGACGTTGACGATGCCAGGCATGTAACACTGGAACAGAGTACGGAGGTAGTCGACATCACACCCAATCACCATGCACTGCATCAGATTTGTTCAACGGGAAAACCTGAGGGTATGCGTTTCAAATCTACAACAAACCACGTATATTGGGTTCGCCAAACAATACAATTATATTTAAATTTAAACATGTGTTCTTTCATATCATATTACTTGCATGCATACCTGTTCAAACGCATGCATACATACTTAAACATAGATATTTCTCTCTCTCTCTCTCTCTCTCTCTCTCTCTCTCTCTCTCTCTCTCTCTCTCTCTCTCTCTCTCTCTCTCTCTCTCAACCACACACACACACACGCACGCACGCACGCATATGGCACACACATTGCAGTATGCGCAATACGTATTCACTCTGTGGCTCATTAAGAATGTATTATTTCAGACCACCAAGAATTGATCCGTCTGACATGGGACAGTGTTGACCCCAGATCCTGTCTCCGATCGTCTTATGAAACCGTCCACAGCGATCAGAACTTACTCGAGACGATCGTCCAATGTCTTTGTGAAAACAATTTCAGCACTCTCCGCAAACTATGTCGCACATTTTACAATGCATATACAACCAAGCTCACCTGCATCAAAATCAACCCACTGACCTTCACCTTCCTTCATCGGAGCGGGCAAGAAGAAATGAGACACCTCGGACCAAAACTGGCCAGCGTTTTGAAAAACCAACTTTCCGAAAGCCTCCCTGAAACTGATGATGTGAAACTGAACCTTCAGTTCTGTACTGACGACACTGTGTCAAGAGACTATTGCATGCAGATACCAGGAGGTAATTAATTTTAATTATAAGTAGTACTCTTTCCATGTGTTTGGGCATTAAATGTTCAAAATATTTTCCTTTTTCAATTCTATGTTTTGTGAGCTTTTTGTTCTTCTAATAATTTTGTTTTTCAGAAAGTGAAACAGAAATGCGTTTTTCACAGATGGAGAAACAGATCGAGTCACTCCGATGTATGTTTGAGGAGCAGAGAATTGGAAGAACGTTTAATTCACCGTCACTTTCCACTGGGCCCGTATTCAGACAATATGAAGAACGTGACCCAGGAAATCAGAATCATGTTGCTGGTCCGATATCCTCTAGTGACGGGGCAGCTGAGAAATGCGCAGGAGCAGCAGAAGGTAAAGGGTTAACACAGGAGACACTTCCGGTCACCACCCCAGTAGCCGTTACTGGAGCACCAACGTCAGTTGCTAAGTTTCGACAAGTCAATCAAATGACAGGAATAACGGGCACGTGCCCAAATATAGACAACACAGAGGGTTCCGCAGAAGTTACAATGGTACCAAAACATGCCCTAGACCCTAACCACACAGGGGACAAAGCAGGAGTCACACAACCTTCAAGTCTTGGGTACGTATTGTTAAACATCAATACTTCATAAGCAACCGTGATTTAACAAAACAGGCTGTAATATTATCAGCAAAATATACGTTTTTTCAAGACTGTCATCGACGGGTGGATTTGGTGGAGCGCCGGGGTTGTCAGACCTAAAAAATATAAAAGTTGTCGAACGAAGACCGTCCCTTGGTGAAGATCAACCATCTGCCACAACAACAGCAGGAAATACCAAAGCATCTCAGCAAAGCTTTAACTACGAAGGAAGGAAAACAAAAAACAGCAATTGGATGAAAGGTAGGGGTCCTTGCATCGACCAGTCTCACATATGTGTAGAGAAGTTCAAAAAAATTTTTGACATTGTAGACAATCTTCACTTGTCCGTGTTAAAATAACTATATCATTCTGGTATACATCCAGTGAATCCAGCGCCACCGACGGCAAAAAGCATGAATACCATCCTGTGTCTCGATGCATCCTCAAGTATGGGACCAGATGGATTTGAGGAAATGAAGAAGATCGCTTGTAGTTTCATTGACGGTAATAATTGTTACAAGTGCATTACCAGTTAAGAAGTAGTTACCCTCATTTTGACGATGGCATTGTTTTGGGTGATGAACACGTCGAACACTCTATATAAGGCAGTTTACAAGCCTGTTTCACCTGCAACTGAGTAATGAAATAGACGCTTAATGTTTCGCGTAGGCATATATACATCCAAAGTCTGGTCAACTGTTTGTCCATTCCCATTCTCCTCGATACCTAAAGGTTTGTGTTACACATACCCTGTTAATACACACAGAGGTGGAAGTGGCTTGTGCACCATTCTTTTGCAACATTCGCGTCGACATTTTCACCAATAGAAAACCATTGTAATCTTAGAATGGTTCACCTAAAATGACAGGTTGAAATATTAGGGAATACCTCGCTGTTGCAGGACTTGAAGACATCACATCTGAGTATGAGATAGAGGAGAATGTTGCTGTGGTAGCCTTTGGGGGAACTCCGCGGGTTGTACATCACCTCAGCAATGACTACGGGAGTGTGATAACTGCCATCGGTAGGTAGAGGAATGTCTTCATTCAGTAGAGGGTAATGTCCGAGTAACTCTCCATTCCTTAAGAGTAATGGAGCTGCTCGACAATGGAATGACGCCACAAATGTAATTTAATACATGTTGCTCACTGACTGATTGGGATTGGCATTATAACAGAATAAACATTGAGTTTATGGTCTATTCCCGAAATTAGAGGTTTCATTAACGCCTCAAAACATATTACTTTCATGAGGGATAAGAACTTCATGAATAGGGATGTTGGTGCAGTGCTTTCCCAATGAAGATATGCCAGACCTCCTGTTTTACATTAAGGTGTTTTTATACAAACTGAGGCTTCTGTGTGTTTATCGTTATCTTTGTGTACAATGTTGGAGACGTAAAAAACAACAGTTACTTATTTTTCAGAAAATATTCCGTTTGGTGGTAGATCACCGCTTTTCGAAGCACTCAAAGAATGTCTTCAGGAGCTGAATGACCGAGGTAAGAACTTTGTTCAATGATGTGGTTTCGATTTCCAGACTCATCATGTCAGCAGCATATGCGTCATCTTTGGCCCTTCAGCTCTTCTCCAACATTGAACGGATACACATTTGGTGTTGAGTAAAACCCATCTGACTCACTTTGACTGACATTACAATGTTCTTTATCTTTGCATTTCCTTCAGGGTCCACCCTAAGTATCTCCGGCGTTCATAGCATCCCACCCCGCATCATCATCATTACCGATGGGAAGGCGTCCAATGATGCAAATGTCGGAATCGATGTGGAAACTATCGACGACAACGTACGTCAGTACAGCAAAGCTAGACCTACTACCTAATGTCATCTGCACCTACTACCTAATGTCATCTAGACCTACTACCTAATGTCATCTGGACCTACTACCTAATGTCATCTGGACCTACTACCTAATGTCATCTGGACCTACTACCTAATGTCATCTGGACCTACTGAAGATCGGTCCTGTCTGAGATGAAGATTTACTTCATGCCTTACCAATTTACGTATCGTCATACTCATTTTGAAATCATTAGAAGTAACAGTAGCAATAGGATGAGGTGGAAAGGCACCATGAAAACAAATACAAATAAACACTATTCATGTTCTTTCACATGTGATCTTCACACGCCATTTTCCTTGATTTATCAGTTTCTCGTTGATTTTCATTTACAGAATCTCCATTGCAGGTGAAATTGCAAGTCATCCAAATGATGAAAGAATTTCGGCCATCGGAATACAGGTCCACTCTTCCAAGACCGATAGCATGGATTCCTGCGGGCAATGCCAACTTGGTAAGAAGTGACAGGAAGTATTATTTTTAAGCTTTTATTTCCCAGAGATACATATCACATACATCAGGCACTTTGTATTGAATACATGCATGTATACATACAAACCGGCTTCCAAGTCGCCGCAATCATGAAAATGTTCAGTAGTCATTATCTCAGTAATGATAATATGTGAATAATAGTAATACATCATTATATAATGTGGGACCATAGTACGTCTAGGTAGACTTACATATAACAGGTCATTTATATCAAATCCATACCTATATACATACAAACCAGCTTTCAAGTCGCAGTCATCATTGAAGTGTACAATAATTATTCTCCGAGTAATGACAATATCTGATTTGTAATAGTACATTATCATATGATCATTCCATGTGAAACCACTGTAGGTCTAAGTAAGCTTACATGTAACAGGTAATTTGTATCGAATGCATAGATACATACATACATATGATACATACATACATAAAAACCAGCTTTCAAGTCGCAGTCATCCTGGAAGTGTACAGTAATCATTATGCGAGTAATGACATATGATTAATAATAATACAACGTCATATAATTATTCCATGTGAGGCCACAATGAATCTGGGTAAACTTTGCATGTTGCATATTATTGTGCTAGGAGGGTGTGAAGAGATGACCAAAATGTAAAACATTTAGCTTGGTCAGCATGTGCAAGGCAATAAATGTACATGATTTGTAGTATCGTTTGATCTCATGTTTTATCTTATGAAAGTTAGATTTAACATCTTTTCTACTCATAGTGTAAATATTCTTCTTTAATATTAGGCAGATAATGTTTAGAGGGTTGTTATTTTTTCTCTTAAAACCAAATAATATATTTTCTAGTTTTAATTCAATTCCTCCTTGCCCAATATCTCCAGACATGAGGACAGTTCCGTCCACACTCCCTTTACAAAACTACACTCAAACAGTAGATGCCGTACAGATTCTTGTGTCTGTTTACAAAGTATGCATAATGGTGACGCTTTAATTCCAATCTTACGTAAGTAAGTAGTAGTTGTTAAAATATTCTGAGTAATCTTATTTTGAAAATATTTGGGCATTAAATATATATTCTCCCATTCCTTTTGGGAAAATTGTTCTCCTAGTATTTCTCCCCAGTTAAGTTATCCTGTTGTTTTAACAAAGGTGAAGTCACATAGTATTTGGTAATAATATTTACTTTTCTTTTCATTTGTTATCAAACTTATATTAAATGGTAAAATTGCATATACTTGTTATTTTGCAACGTCTTAACAGACATATTTTTGTTATTGAAGTACTGCATTCTTAATGCTAAGGTTTTCAAGGAAATTATTGTCAACATTGTAACTGCTTTTAATATAATCAAGGGAGTGAATGATACCATTTTGATTTATAATGTGACTCAGAAATATTATTCCTTTTTCCTCCCATTTCTTGAAACAAACAGGGTTTCCTTCTATACTGTATATTAAGATGTTATAATTACACCATATTGATTGGTTTAATATATCCTTTCCCTCAGATGCCTTTTCGTGGCCAATGTTTATAAATTCAGACCATGCCTTCAATACATCTACCCAAAACTTTTATGTGATTTTCGGTAGTATATTTTAATAATATTTTCTACATCAGCTGTTCATAGCCTTGACATGTTTGGAATGTATATTGAAGTATTATTCTTCCATAATGTATCATTATTCAATAATCTTTTCATCCACATCAGCTTTTGCGCTTTAATAGTACTTTTTTATAATTGGAACATTAATACCTCCATATTTTAGAGTGAACGTCTCCAGCGTTCTTTTGAGCTTGTCTCTTTTTGTAGTATGTCAATTGTGTCATCTGGTAAGAAGTAACAGGAAGTATGATGACCAAACCTTGGCATGAATGCAACAGTATTGAAACTGACAAAAAAGCTCCTCTTTGAGAAAAAAACACAGTCACGATGATCACACAATTGTCACCATAAAACATCGAATGATTATAGAGTAAATTTCAGTGCTGATGTAAGTACATAAAAAAATATATGTGTACATGCGTGGACAAATAGGCTTATGAAGGAGACTGAAAATACACTTGTTAATATATATTTATGTTTTGCATTGTAGGACTTCATCAAGTCACTTGCGAAACTGGCAGGCGGTATATATCTTTCTGGGGCAGACATCACACACTTGTGCAAATACCAGATGGTTCAGGTGTATATTCAACAGAGATCATTTTAAATGCGAATAGAATCAGAAAGCATTTCAAAAGATACCAGAAGTCCCTAAGTGCATTTCCATTTAGATGATTACATATTTTACTAACCTAATCAGACATCGCAGGTAGTTTCTATTATGAATAAATGTTCTAGGTGCAATGGTCTTTTTGTAGGCTGTTTCAGTTATTTCGTATTTTGAGCCGACGACATGTCCCTTGATTATACACAATGGTGATGTGCAGAAAGATCTGGTTTTACGAACGTCGAGTGTAACTTATACATGTTTCCTTTCGTAGATAACCATCGGGAAGATATTTGTGTGTATGCAGAACAACATTGGATGCAGCGGCTCAGGGAACGAGACAGACATCAATGAGATTTTGAACATCTTTGCTAGGGATTTGGATCCCGAAGATAAGGTAAGTCACATATCACATGTGATGGATCGAGAGACGCATAATCTTGAAAATGCTGTATTTTTACACTGTGTGGGACAGATACTCAATGGATGTCATGCCTTTGAAAGTGTTTCACTGTGTCCAGTTGAAGAATGAAATAATTACCAGTTTATTCATGCTAACGAATATGAAACATGAAAGGATCCTATGAAAAATTGTGCATGTACGTCTTTGATTTTTCGGTAACCCGAAGTTTTCAGCTAACATAGCATGTGATATTGTCCGTCTTAAAATTATGAAGAACCTGGCTGTGTTGAGTCAGACGTGTTCAACATCTTCAGAATTTGCCACAAGTCGACCTGAGCGTTACGACCAGCAACATTCCAGCTATATCACGCCACGGGACACTAGAAATAGCATTTATACCTTTGTACCCATGTGGGGAATCGAAACTGAGCCTTCGGGTGACGAGCGAACGCTTTGAACAGTCCCGCACATCTTCTAATGAGATAGAACTGTTTAATCAATGCAATATAAATGTTATTCTTCACATATCAGTATATCACTGCTCTAAATATTATCCTAAGCATGCTTATATCCTCATAACTTCTATTCCACAGGAAGAAGTAATCAATACTGTAAAGGACAAGCTTAAAGGAAAGCCAGGGGTTGAGTGTGAAGGCCATGGCCCTGCAGATTTCGACAACGTCATTGAACATGACGATCCCGTACTGGCTTGCCTTGGAACCAGGGTTGTGAGGGGGCCCGACTGGAAATGGGGCAACCAAGACACTGATGGAGCTGGGACAGTCATCAACCACACAAACGACCCAAGATACCTTTGTAAGATTGTTTAGTAAACCACCGCTTGTATTAGTTTTCAGCGTCCTTTGTAGATGTCTGTTTCAGATCTGGTTACTGTATGCTTCAGATTGGATTTGGGTGCACTGGGACAATGGCACTCACAATAAGTACAGATATGGAAGGGATGGAGCATTTGATGTGAAAAGCGTGGAATGTCGGCCGAGGATAACTGAATCTTTGATTGACATTGGCTGCGAAGTTCAGAGAGGTACAAATATCATTTGTATGCAAATTTTATCTACTAAAAATGATTTAAGGCAATAAAAAAAAAGGTGAATTTGTATGCTTCAAGTGTCATGTGGTCCGACTGTTTACTCCTCAATGTTTTTGGTACGAAAACCTTTCTTCCAAGATAACACGTCATTAAATTGTTTTATCTCTAGGCTCAGATTGGCAGGATGAGCATGGAGATCAAGATGGCGGTCCTGGGGGTGTTGGTGTTGTCATCAGGGTGAAGGACAACGGGATGGTGAAGGTACATGTAATCAGAAACATCATCATCTGCACTCTATTAGGTAACCACTCACTTTAAGCCCAGTATGCAGCACAGTCCCATACGACCAGCATAGACCCTTTGCCAAAGGCAGCCCCCATAAGACAATTCATCACACCTTCCACAGGCCATTCAAATTATTCCATTTATATTTTCACCTGTTTCATTCTTGACGGGGACGGTGGGGTAACTAATAGTTAAAGCGTCCGCTAAAGACCCCACATGGGTACAATGTGTTAAGTCCTTTTGTGGTGTCCACAATCGTGAAGCGGGAAGAAATCATTCCCGCTTACTCACTCGCTCATTTGTTATGAGTGAACATATCAAAATAAACATCTGTGATAATTTACTTTCTTTGAGAAAAATCCTAAAAACGTTAAATACACACTTAAAAAAATGAAACGCATCAGCGTTTTCCGCAGTTCATTTCGATACATTTTGACTGCAATCGTCGTTGAGAAAATGCCTATGTTTGAATTGCGTTAATCAAGCCCTGGCTGTGTATTGCGCGCAAAAAGCATCTCAAAATGTGTTTGTAAACGTTTGTCATACAAAATGAAAACGATGCATGAAAAGTGCCTGCAGAAAAAGTTTTCCACGTTCAACACATGCAAAGTGTCAGAAACATAAGAAGAGAAATCAACTATGAAAGGCCAAATTCATTTCATTTCCAAATTTCCAACGTAAACGAAAAAAAATACCAAGATTGAAAGCTACTGCCCGAAATATCGCCAATGGACGTTTGGAAGCAGGAGAGTGCCAGTCTGCCGTTTGAAGTCATCTCAAGGTCCACTACAGCACCATATCTGGATTACGACATCGATTGATACCTGCTTCAATTCACCACAAGATCATCCCAAAAGTGGAGGACCAAGAGTGATTACTCTTGTTCAGAACCGATTCATCCGCGCGGCCATGTCTTTCACCGTCATCACCGATTTGCTATAGAAACGGACACTGCAGGACAGGTGCCTGGTCTTTGAAGAATTTCCAACCAAACCATGAGAAATCGTCTGACAGAAGTGGGAATTCGTGTATATCAACCAAAAGTTGGTCCTGTCTTATACGACTACACCCACAATGACGTGTACAATAGTGCAACTGGGTACAGGCATGGAATCTGGGGAACGCATATAAATCGCACTTGCTCCTGCAACAAGATGGGAGACGTGTGTATCGAGGTCAACAAGAACGTTTTACATCGAACTGCGTTCTAAAAGTGGATAAATTTGAAGGAAAAAGCATCATGGGGGGTGCCATGTCCTACACGTGTCGATCAGAGCTAGTGGTCGTTCAAGGAAATTTTACAGCAAATTTCTAGATCAACCAAATCACGTGACCTCACCTCATCCCACTTTTTAACCGACAGAGGGATCGGTTTCATCACAACAATGCTCGACCCCACACAGCTCGTACAACAGTTGCCTATCTCGCCAATGCAAATGTCAATGTCCTTCCCTGGCCTTCCAAATCACCTGATTTGAACCCGATCGAGCATCTATGGGATGAACTTGATTGACGTGTCCATAAACATCACCATCGTCCTCAGACACTTGCCGAACTTGCCAAAGCCTTGCAGGAGGAATGGCAAAGAATTCCCTAAGTAAAATCTGACGACTTATGCAATACCTACAAAGGCGGTGTCGGCTCCTTGTGTCCACACACACGTTTAATACATTTCCTTATTTTTGGCCAATGCGTTTCTTTTTTTGAAGAGTGTACTTCTTTGATTTGCTTAGTTATCCTTTGAGTTCATTGGTTGTATGGATCCTCATGCTATCATCGAATCCCTGTGGACAGCAAACAGTCCAGTCAGTTTGACGTAAGAATTTATATTACCATGCAAGTCATTGTCGCACCTGTTTTAGCACATCTAATTAATTGTGCAAAAACAATATGAAGAACGCACCAAAATGCTTTCAATGGAGCAGTCTGTTCTGACATGTTTGCAAACAAGGGAAACGTCCAGTAACGTAATACGTTATAAGCCATCACAGCTCAGGACAGTTTGTACGCAGGTTATTCCACACAAACTAGGCTGTTTCAAGCAGGTGACTCTAGGAGTCTACTTTTATAACATTTCTTCGAGTAGATCAGTGCACGATCGTCCTTAGGATGCAACAATTGATTTGTCGACTGTTTTAGCATTGGATGTTCTTTACACACTGACAGGTACGCTGGAAACTGACTCACCATATCAATGAATACAAATATGGATATGATGGGAAAATGGACCTGACCTTGAGGTAAACTTTTCTCCTCATAAAAGTTCATAATTTAGGTCTTCACCTTTGTCAAATACCAATACCTATATAATTGAAAACAAATATTTTAGCTTGGACTACTGTTGCAGAGATCCGGTAGATATTGTGATGGAGAACACAAGAGATGACACTCCAGGTACCGAGGCGTCAAAAGACCCAGGTAGAACAATTGATAATTATTGAATTATAAACATATGAATTAGGCAGTCTTTGAGTTTTAGGTGGGGTGAATTGGAGTTTGACTAGAAATTTATATTAATTCACCCATTTATAGCGAATTGCATCCACGTGTCCTCTGAGTAAAGAGCCAAGGAAACACGTTACCATCCTTTAACGTCTTTTAGCATAACGTGATCACACCGAACCGTGGACGTGCTCCTGACCGGGCAGACATATTTTCTACTGGCGGCAGTAGTAGCAAAGGGGGTTATAGTATTGGTCACAAGGACTACATCTAGCTCATGGTGATCGCATCTGGGACATACAGTGATATGAAAGAAAAATGACACAGAGACAGCTATCTCTGTAACATTACCAAATCCTGAGGAAGCATCACAATATGAAAGGTAGGACTTCCAACCACAAAGCCCTATGTAGGTTTCGGAATAAACTCTATGCCCAACTCTTGAAATACAACTCAAAGGTTTCTACAGATCAAGTTTTGATGATATCAAAATACATCCAACAAATATAGACTGAACTAACGGTACATAACAATTGGGTATGCCTTGTTTTAGCAAAGATGGGCATTCTTTTTCTTTGGTCACAACAGTCTCATAACTCAATCAAGGGGCCGCAACAAATTAAGTAAGACAATTACCTTTTGCTACTATGGTACCACCTGTGAGAGGGGTCATGCAATGCACACATTACACACAACATGCGAAACCATTGGCATCCAGTGTTATGTCACATTATTTGATTGAAAGCTTTGTTGAACGACAGACTTGTGTGTCACTTCATATTTTGAAGAGGGTGGGTTGTGGATGTAAAGGCATAGGGACTGTGTGGCAGTCCAAGTAGTACACTCGCCAAGTAGTAGAATAAATGTTACTAGGACCTCTGACACCTTGTCCTTTGGGCAATGTACAAAAAAATCTGCAATATTCTTTAATCTTCCCTTGGCATCTATGGAGACAATCTTTTGGAACCTGAGACGACATACCCTGGGTGTGATCGTATCGCTTGGATCTGATGTATTTACGCAATATAGTAGTGATAGTTTCAACAGATTCACAAATTGACGGATTACAGTTCATTGGTGATCATTAGCAAACTTTCAGTGTAAGTTTTACACCTTCAAAGGTTTCAAACCATATAAAGTTTATGTTAAATTATCCTTTCATCATCTATGATGTTCGCAAAGCATTAAAGAAGAAAATGTTGGAAGTGGTTACTATAGTCATATTGCAGAATATTTATAGAATGTGGTTTAATTACTAAACCCATTAAACAATAATGGATCAATGCATGGTAGTGTCTGTTTTGGGCAGCTTACCCTCCTCAAACTCAGTGGATGTGGCTGTGGAAGGATGAAGCAGGTCACTGGCTGTCCTACAGTGAGGAAGATGAGAAGAGGCTGGAACAGGCCTACAGGAAACGTCAGAATGGGTCCTGTCTTATAAGCATCAACGGCACGCAGTCAGTATATATTTCATTCAAACATGATGTATTTTGTCTAGATTCTACAGACCAATCTAAGACTACAATGATTTTGTATGCAGTAATGGTGTAGGAACCTATCATGGTTATTATTAACTCAACTTCAAAGGTTATTTCTTTTCTTCTTCTTCAGGTACAGGGTGCTTTTCAAGGAGTGGCAACAGCGGCGACTGGATGACAATGTCAGAATGGAAGTTCAAAGAAGACCAATGGATCAATGATTTCATATTTCACAAGCATCAATGAACATGAACCGTATTGGATCCACTGGTGACTGATACCAGTACATTCATGCATACTGCTTAAATAAAGACGAATTTTTAAACTTACATTATATGACACATCCATATCATATTCAATAAAGCACTACTTTTGCCTTTTATGCCAAAACAGAACATCTTTCAACCGAAAATTCAATTTTCACTTCCTGATATCAATGTCCAATTTTACAGTACTTTATTAATGAAAATAGCAACATGCTAGCATCAGAACATCCTTGATAATATCCAGGGTATACGTTCGTTCCGATAACTCTCCACTATACCCTGGATGCATCTATGGTTTGAGGTGATGATTTTATTACCTCCCTTTGCTGGCTCCACATTCTCACTGTAGCCAGTCAGATAAGCCGCTGTTACAACCGAGCTTGCCATTGTCAACAAAAATAGCAGTCGTAGCCACGAAAGTTTGGGGGAAACATAGACGAATGGACTGGTCTGAAATCTTAAAATAAATATGCAAGAACTCCTTCTACCTCTTTCAGAGTACCTCTGCAACAATATATTATTGTGTTGCCAAGTTTAATCGGTTAGATAATTAAAAAGCGAAAGTGAGTTGTGATTGGTACACTCAACTTCCCAGCGTTGACACCTGATTGGGTAAATAGCCAGCCAAGGGAGGCAATAAAATCATCGACTCGAGCCGTAGATGCATCCAGGGTATATTGGAGATTTATCGGAACGTATGCCCTGGAGATTATCAAGGATGGCGTCAGAAAGGTACACACGAAATGTATTTCCACAAGGTCAATAATCAATGCTGCAATGTATTACATCTTCCTATTCGTAAAATATTTTCCATTGCTAATATTGTAACCCTAACATATTATGTGACATGCTCAATACCGTTTAGGCCACTGGAGCCTTACGAACAATAAGATTATCTATTGTATAGGTTAGAGTGCTATGAACAAATTTCTCTGATTAAAAATTGACATATGCAATTGCATCTGAAATATTTCTAAAGATGTTGTAAGATGACCTTCCACAATTTATTAAATAAGGAAATGTTCAGTAAAGTGTGATGTGCATCAGTTTTGTGGCTTATGCATAGACTACTTCATCCACATCATGTAGGACTTTGCATGGAAGAATCATGCACCTTCTTCTGATGTTTGTGCAAGTCCTGGGCATGCTTGTACCGTTTGTTGCACAGTGTGCAAGGCAGTCTAAAGTCAGTGTGGCCCCTGGTGTGTCGTTCAACATGTGTCCGAGTCTTAAACCGCTTCCCACAAACTTGGCACAAGAACGGTCGAGTGCCAACATGAATGTTCTGCACATGGTTCTTCAGAATGGACTTGTCAGCAAACTTCAGTCCACACTGAGAACAGGAATATGGCCGTTCTCCAGTGTGCTTCAACCTGTGTCTGTTGAGGTTGGACTGGTTTGAGTAGATCTTCCCACAAGTCTCACACTGCATAGACTGTGTCCCCTCAACACTTGCCCCTAGAACTCTCGGCTTGGTACACCTCCTCAGTGCTTCATGCTTCACAAGTGCTTTTGATGAAGAAAAATACCTTTCACAAATGTGACAACAAAAATTCACTCCATTTGGATGAGAAACTTTGTGATGTGTATTTAGTGACTTAACACTAGCAAACACTTTAAAACAAAGTTGGCACTTAAGGAAATGTGTCAGATCACACTGGGCACGTCTCTTGTGTTTCAGGTAGCTTGTCCTCCTGCTGTAGGTCTTGTCACAGACAGAGCAATGGTACCCTCCATCCTGGGTCTGTTCCAAGTGGGTCATCCTGTGACTCTCAAGCATCTTTTTGCTTGAAAAATGCTTGAAACAAGTGCTGCAGCTGTAATACCTACACCCCTTCTTGGACACTTTATGACGGAATATGCTTGTTTTTGTTGAATATACCTTGTTGCAATTTTTACAAAAATATGGTTCAATTTTTTTCCTTAGATCTTTCCCATCCCCTTTGGAACAATTTCTCAGTGTGGTGTGTGTTCCAAGGCCACATTTGCTGTGAAACTGCAGATCACATGACTCACATTTGAAAGCAATGTCTGGTAAACTATGCTGAGGTCTTTGCAGCTGTGTCTGGTGTCGGCAAGTCCTGTCCCTGATGTTTACTCCACGTTCACCAACATGCTGCAAAAGTTGACAGTGACTAGAGAATGTCTGTGCACATACCCTACACTTTACTGAGTTGCCTGAAGTCATTATTTTTCTGTGATTCACAAACAAAGATATACTCTGATATGTCCTGCCACAAACCTGACACTGGTAAACACCATCTGCTACCTTTAGTGCTTGAACCAACCTAGCACAACCCTTCAGATGTCTGTGAAGATTCGTCTTACAAGAAAAAACCTTGCCACATGTATAACATTTGCAAACTTCTTCATGAGCCACTTCCATGTGTCTGTTCATTATTGTCCGACTGGTAAAATCTTCACAACAGATTCTACACATATACCTTCTTTGACATTTGTGTCTCAAGAATACCATCCTGGAAGAAAAACATAACTGACAAAGAAGACACAATACATTGTTCCCCTGTTCCTTACAATGTCCCTGATAATGTTGTTTCAGCAGACACTGAGACACACACATCTTCTGACATAGCTCACATTTAAGTTTGTTTGTCCTCTCTTCCTCTTTATGCCTCAAATAAAGTCTCTGCAAAGGGAAGACAAGTTCGCAATCGGAACAAATGTGTTTTCTACGGACTTGTTTCATCTTAAAGATATTTCTCCTCCTTTTAAATTGGTACCATGTGTGTGCTTGAGATACCCTGTTAACTGTTACAGGTTTCAAGCTGGTATCTTTAACATCTTCACAGTCATCAGTTTCAGAGTATTCTTGAGGATCTGCATCCCAAGTGTATTGCCAGGGTGCTGATGTCAAGGTATTTTCGCCAACAGATGATATTCGACTCCTGATTTCTAACTCAGCTGGCTTTACTACATTTGTCTTGGAAGATGTTGACAAATAAGCTGCTGTATTGGAAAATGCCGTAGAAACTGATTCACAAAAGTCCATACCTGCCCTCTTTGAGGCATCCACTATTTCATTGACTTCATCCTCTTTAAATGTGGATGGAACATATGGAACATGAATCCTGGTGCCAGATGTGCATGATGAACCTAAACTCTGGGGAATTGTTTCCAGGCAATGTTTTCCTGCTTTAAGAGTGACGGCTGTATTTAAGTCAGAAGTGTTCCTTCTTTCTGATGGTTCATCCCTTACAGAAACATTCGCAACCACACAAATCTTGTCGGATGAAATTGAAGCATCACCCAAATCAACAAATGACCTCGAAAAGCGGATCACCACATCATTAGAAAGCACCAGGACTGCAGATAACGATTCGTTTGGAAAGAATTTTGAAAATTGACGGGATTGGTGTGTGTTATCTCCTCCTGGTGGGTTTGAATCATACACATTTTTTCTCTCTCCAACTTTCATGAACACTGGCTTGTCCTCGGTCTGTAAGACATACAGATATTAGAAAAATGTTAGGATATGTGAACACTTCAGGTTCAAATAAATAAAACATGATAAGCTTGACAAAATATTGTTTCTGATAAACTGCTCAAATCTGAAATAAAGACTGAATCCATTGTTCACAAGGTGTACGAGTTTGTTATTCCCAGTCTACATCTATTTATGCTTTTAAAACTAGATGGGATATCTAATTTTCAATAATAAAACATAGATGAGATTAATGGAAGTGTTTATGAACTGGTACGCAGATACAAATGGATACATCAGTCATGCATGTCAGCAGTACATAAGTTGATGCCATGCATTCATTATTCCCTCAGCTACTAAACACCTTCATTGTACTGAGCAACAGTCCCTGATATTGCCTGGTGTTCTAAGATGAACAAACTTCCTATGTCTGGACGGCTGTATGTGTACTGAGTATGTGACCGAGTGAATGTTGTTTTATGCCACGGTATTCCAGTGATATATCTGTACAAACACCTGTGAATAACCTGGTTCAGGACATGCAATCCAAAGGTTTATATCATGAGAACAGTCCATGCTGTCAAGGATGTGCAGTCTACCAGGTTGTCCACTGTTGCAAGCAGATCCTCATAACTAACAGCTCTTCTTATTACTGGCAAACAAGGATAAGTTGAGCACCGGCCTGACAACTGACCTGTATTAGCCTGTATGAGTCCCACCCACTGGAGCTTGTCATTGTTAGCGAAAGGGCCCCAGGTTGTCCGCGATCAAGTGTAGTGTGATGGGAGAAGCAAGGCGTGTGCAGCTACACGAAGAATCAATCTTATCGTAATGCAATGCACATGCACAAGCCTACATCTGCTCTACCTTTCACAAACCAAATGGGTTTGCTCATTGCCATGCACCGCCTACTTCTTGTAAACGCATTCTCTGGCGCCGGTCCAACTTATCTTTGTTTGCCAGTAGGTAGTGGAAATCATGGCATCAAAGTGTTAGTGAGTTTAGTTTTACGCCTCACTCAGCAATATTCCAGCTATATGGCATCAAAGACATATGCCACCCCAAAATCCAAAGTAGAGGATTCTTTGCATGTGTGATTTTGTTTGTTGCATGAAAAAACATTCACTCACTTATGAATGTATTTACATATGATAAAGTACATACTTCTGTATCCGGACACCCAAATGATTCTCCATCAGTTTGGGCTAGCTGCGACACTGCTACTTTGCGGACAACATTAACCTTTAGCCATATCTCCTCAGTAAGGCTCTCCATGACAGCGAGGTGGAACACAGGTCATGGGAATCTCCACTTTCAGGTAAACTGCCAAGTCTTATCGTGGAATCTATCTCCCGACTGTGCCCTGTTACAAAGCGAAAATAGTCAACTGAAGGTTCTGTTAAGCTCACAAGTTCAAGAAGCTGCTAAGGTATCATGTTTCAAAGTACATGTACAGTCAACAGGGATAGAAAATCAAGCAGATTTATTTCTTGATCAATGGCGTAACTTCTACTCGGGCTCACTTTGCAGGTGGTGTACTCGTGACAGACACCTTGTCGTGATGAAAACTCAGGTCGGTTGTAAACATTTTATACAGCTCGCTCTATTGTTATTTCTTGATTAAATCATCTCAATTAATTATCTTGTGTTTCTAATTAACATAGAGTGATGTTCACCGACGTCAGTGTCAAGCAGCCAGTATGGCACAAGCTAATTACCGCTCAGGTGTGATTGTTTGCTTACGGTCTGATTATCCAACCGGCTGTGTTGATTGTCATATTAACGAATGATTTTACAATGTATTTACAATAATCAGTTGCTAGATTGGTATGTTGGAGCCAGAATGCGCGAATGTCGAATTAACGAGGGTAATTTTCACTGTTTAAAATGGTCCCCTAATTCTTTGTCGGATTAATCTGATTGTCGGATTAATGAGTGTCGGATTAACGAGAGCTGACTGTAAATATGAAATAAGTACATGAACCTCAAAATTTATCATTATTTCCTTGGGTGTTACCCAAAGTACCAAATCAAGATTTAGCAGGGGTCCATTTTCATTCTTTCAAGGCGATTGTACACAAGCATGTTTTCTATTCAAAGTCCTCTTGGTGAAAAGTGTTTCAATGGTTTTATCTCCAGCGCTGGGTGAAAAATTCTCATCCCAGTATGAGGGATTACAACTGGAATTATATTTAGGGGATAACTGTACTGTGTTTGATAAATTGGGGACATATACCAGTGGTTTTATTGCAGCAAATTTAGTTATATCGGCAACGCGTAAGCACTCTACAGTTATACCCATTCTAATTCGACTCGTTTACGCTGTTTTTTCATGAATTAATTCATTATTTAAACCAGGTCAAAGTTCCTCTAGGTCAAAGGTTAATCATATCACTCCTTGATCTTACACCATCGCCAGAAAAAGTAGTTCCCTTTTTTAACTTCAACTCTTTTGTTTATGTGCACACTGACTAATTCTGACAATGATGAATAAATCATACTGTTATAGCTAAAATGGATGGAATTATCATGAAACCGCCCTTTAGTTATCAGAAATGAGCGGGTCGCTGCAAATAATAATGGCCTTCTGATTCTTTAACGATGGGCCATTAACAGTTCTGTTGTCAAATGACGTCACAATATGTGACGTCATACTCCATAATGACATCACAAATCTTGTTCCATGATCTAACAGTGTTGGGTCAACAGCCCATTGCAAGTTGTTTGAAGTAAACTTACAATTAAATTTATGATACTGTTTGGGCATTTTTAACACAAGTTGCATCCATTTTGCTATAATAGGAGAGTTAATTGATGACCAGCTATAGGCCTTCTGCAAATGGTAATGCCCTGAAAAATAGCGTTACTCCTATAGTGTAGTGATACATTCAAAAGTTTTGGTGAATCGTTTTCAAATTGTGACCATATATGCTGATTATACGGTCTGAAATTTATAGCATTGACCAATCAGAATTCATGTTACATACTAAGTTGAATTAGAATGAGTGTTAATAGTCATCGAGTACATTTCAAACATATACATATGAAGTGCACAGTATGAAATTCTGACTCTGCAACAGATGTGTTCATTAACTATTAGATGGTTCTACTCCATGGAACAACTGTGTGTGTTTGAATAACTTGTTTCAAACTGTTGGATCCTAGTGCCCACTTAAATGAAAGATGTTTTCCTTATGAAAACGGAAAGATACTATCAACAAAAGGGTAAGAACTAAATCATTTTCAAATAAGACTGAATTATGATAAAATCCTCCATAAATAATAGGAGTACATGTTACTTCTTATATCAATGTCATAAATTGCCACAATGAAAAGAATCTATGTTCTTGTAGCCTCAGGAGTAAGTACATTTATCACAGATGAAATCTGTGGGCATGAAGATCTCTACAGCCATATCTTAGACGGGAGTGAATAATCTGACAGAATCATGATCCAAAGTTACGATAAAACAAAGAAACACAATTTACATAAATGTTTTAACTTTCATGCGAAATCACCCAAAGTATTCCCTTCAGTACATGCATAGGGTAAAGACTTCCAACGTTTTACTGTGTCTAGGAGAAAAGATTTAGAATAATTTCCTGTTTTGAATTTGATAGTTCGCAACTTATGACTACTTGGCTTCTGAAACACAAGGTGGTACAAAATCACAAAGATAGCCAGTTACAAGATTACTGATCATTAAATAAAAAGTTGTTGTTTGGATGTATCTACTTTCACTTAATGTCCTACATTTCTTTCTTTGTATATCTTGTTGTAACTAGTACTTTGAACGGGCCCCCAGATAGAGTTCATAGTGCATTCAGAACAAGGTTTTCAAGTATTTGTGACTGTTCCTTGGAAAAAGTGCCTAAAATATGACAACAGTATTCAAATAGAGGCAAAATGGAAAACTAAGATATAAAGTGTTTTCCTAAATGAATAAATTCATATTTCAGCATAAAATACAACTAAAATAATCCGGAGAAGGAATTGATTCTTGCTCTCCATTTGAACCCATAAATTGCTAATTATGTTATCACTGTTATGACTGAAAATTTCAGCAGCTATAGTCTGTTTTGCTAAAAATCGGACCGATGAATTGCAACCTAACTCGAAAACAACTAAACATAGAATACTCAATGAAACACTGATCATAAACATTACATCAGACCACTCTGTGATTTTTATGCAGAATTTATGTCCTAATAATAAAAAAGTTGTTTAACAAACTATCATTAAAATTTTGAGACAGTTCACTCTTTGTTACGAGGGAGGGGTGCAAAGAGAGGAACAGCTAATGTACTGTCGGAAATGCTAGGAAAATGCTTTTTGACTTATATTTAAAATTCAGAGGTATTACAGTTACTTAAATAACAAATATCACTTTAAGAAACATCTACCTAATGTAGACCAAGGGAATAATTTTTGAGACATGCCCTATAATGTGTTCTTACTGATGAAAATACCAAAAACTTAGAAAAATAACGGGTAGTGGGACATTATTTGATACAAACATTAACTGCCTGTGTTATGTCATCAGCATGCACGGTATCGACAGGTGAAATTGACACCTGAGCACATGCTTCTGGGGGAAGAAGAGGGGAAGGGGTCATCTCAATAGATGTTTTCTTCAAAATGTTGAATATGTGTACGTATAGTATACGTATTGGTTCTCGTCCTGCGACGCCACTTGCAGACAGGCTTTGTCGTCACTGTAGTAGTCAGGCTGTCGAAGACGAAGTACATTTCTTAGTTAGCTGTCCTTATTATTCTGATCTTCGGTATGATTTGTTTAGAAAATCTAGTATCTTACACCCAAATTTTGCTCAGTTATCAAAGACTGAACAAGTTACATTCCTCTTACAAACAGAAATTATTGTTAATCCATTGGCCGCTTTAGTTAGCCGTGTATCGGCATAAGCTATCATCCCACTAAAGTTGTTTTTTCCTTAGGTCTTTCATATGTGTGATACTCCTTAATGTTTTAATCTTATATTTTATACATTTTATGCACATATTGTCTAGTGTGTCTCATTGGCCATCTGGCCTGGTGTCTGTATTTTTCTATGTCTTTTCACCGTTGCCATTTTTGACATGTACATTCACGTGACACATAAATAAACTATTTTGTCTGTCTGTCTGTCTTGTAAGGGATCATTTGTGTATGTGTGTATGTGTGTTTGTTTTGAAATAAACATACGAATTACTGTACATTGGAAAGAATCTTATCACTTGTGTTATCTTATCGATTGATTGTAGAAATGTGCAACATTTTAATAAATATTTTGCATGTCAACAGTATATTTCATTGCAAAAATATGGATGTAATTCGGTCAGTTTAATCTAGTTGTGAACATTGGCCAAAGATTTAATGAAGTCACTGGTGTAGCTTCTTTAGAATATATATATTCTTCTTCTCATAAAGTTTGTAGACCACCCGTCTAAGTACTCCCTTGTCAAAGTTGTCAAGGATGGTTTTACGTCCCGGTTTTGCTTTTGAGACGGTCCCTGTCTTGTCTGATTTGTTTACACTATTGTAAACTTGTTGGTAACACATACCAAAAGCTCTACAAGTTCTGTAATAAACCCTTTCTAACCTAATGAAAGGTTTACCTCTGTCTTTTTCAAGCACAAAAAACTTATAAACCTTTGCAACAATTGACTGTAAATATATTTGGCCATAGTGGACGCTGTGATAAGGATGTGCATGCATGACGGGAAACTTATTTATCA